GTAGCCTCTTCCTTCAGAGATCCTCTCAGTGTCTCCGATTCTTCGTCTCCCGTTCCAGCCAGATGTGGCGGCATCTTGAAACGGGATTGGTTGCTTAAGCATCGCACCAAGGTCCCTGCACTTGTTGCCGCCTTCTTTCCCTCACATCACATCTTTGGCGATCCAACTCAATGGCTACAGGTCTGCTCCGATCTCGACAGCCTCAAGTATTTCCTCATATCCCTTAATTTTGTCTCCTTGTTTCCGCCCCCTTTGTTTTAAAAAACCTCCGACTAACAATGCGATCTCCATTGCTAGATCCGTAATCCGTCCCAAAAACATCAAACTGGTGGTTGTCGTGGTCCAGTCTTCTCCACAGGGTAGCATTTTTTTGTCTGTTTAACCTTTTTTTAATTTATTATCATTTCGACTAGTTTCATCTCCGACCCCGTGACTTACTCCTTCCTTCCCGACTTCTTTTTCTAGAGGAAATTAGCGAAGATCGGCTTGTGGCATTGCGAAAGCGTGCAGAACTAGATTCTAAATACGTGATCTTCTTCAATTCCAGCATAGATTCTGAACTCTCAGTCTCTCTCTCCAGGCATGTTTCTCTCCCCTTTTCTTGTTTTCGGTTTTGCACTTAGAACAAGAGGCTTTTCCTTCATGCATCTCAACACAATATGTTTGCAGGATCGCTTCTGCATTTGCAGAGTTGGCCCTTGCATATTACAGAGAAGAAGGACGGAGAATCAAAAGCCGAGTTGAGAAAAGAAGTTCCAATTCTCCTGATTTAAATGTTCGCTACTGTTTTAAAGTAAGTTTTTCTTTACCTCTGCTAAGCCGAATCATTTTGTTTCAAAAATATCTTGTAAAAGGAAGGCTCATTCATGTCATGACTGCTAGGTCGCTGTATATGCAGAGTTCCATAGAGACTGGGCTGAAGCATTGAAGTTTTATGAAGACGCGTACCATTCCCTGCACGAGGTCTTTTTTCTTTAATCACTAATTATTCCGTTTTTTCCAACCCATCTGTCACGCTAAACTATTCTGCTTCTTGTCAAGAAGTTGCTTTTTATGCATATATGGTTTTAAGGTTTATGTATATTTTTCTGGGGTTTCCCCACATTCAGTTTTGACGAGCAATTTTGTTTATGCAAAACAGATGATCGGGACATCGACTAGGTTGCCTGCAATACAACGCTTGGTTGAAATCAAGACCATAGCTGAGCTATTGCATTTCAAGATATCAACGCTTCTGTTACATGGTGGCAAACTCATAGAAGCAGTGACATGGTTTCATCAACATAAAGCATCATATGAAAAGGTTGTTGGATCCACAGAATTTATTTTTCTCCATTGGGACTGGATGAGTAGGCAGTTTCTTGTCTTTGCTGAATTGCTGGAGACAAGCTCCGCAACTGCTCAGGGCTTTTCTTCCTTAAACCAAGGAACTGCAGAAATATCTTTGACTGAGTTTGAGTTCTATCCTGCCTATTATTATCAGGTCAGTTAAATTTTCTCCATGTAACTCATAGTTGGAACATATTCTAATACTTGGTGGTGCATTTAGTGTTAAAGCTTTCTGTGTCGTTTACCATTTTCTTAAAACAGCATTATAGGAATTTAACACCTACCTCAAAGCAAATGTTGGATTTTCCGACTTCTATCCCATAAACTTCTGAGCAGTCTGCTCCTAAGTACAGGATGTTTGAATATATAATATGTTCTTATCCACTGGAAATTTTTTTCTATACGCAGTTGGCTGCACAATACTTGAAAGATAAGAAATGTGCCCTGGAACTGTTGTTGTCAATGTCTGAAACAGCTCAAGAAATTAATAGCTGCTCTGAATCCATTACACCTTCAGGCTATGTGGGTCAGTTCGCTCAGTTGCTTGAGAAGGGAGAGGGAGAAGCTCTTACGTTTCACTCGTACGTTTATTCATAAATCTGTGTAAAAAATATATGTAACTATGCTACCACCACCTTTAATGGTATAAATTTCTAATGTTTTGCAGTATAACGGATGAAGAGTACACACGGTATACAATTTCAGAAGCAAAGAGATTTCAGGATTCCTTTGAAATTATTGCTTGGCTGAAGAGATCTTACGAATCATTTACCAACCTTAAAGCCGGGAGGATGGCTGCTCGTTGTGCATTTGAAGTAGGCCGGGAGTACTTTGATTTGGCTGATCCCAACAACGCAAAAAAATATTTCGATATTGCTGCAAACTTTTACAGACAAGAAGGTTGGGTAACTTTGCTCTGGGAGGTGTTGGGTTATTTGCGAGAGTGTTCGAGAAACCTTGGTGCATTGAAAGATTTTGTAGAGTTGTCCCTTGAAATGGTTGTACTGCCTGTAACATCTTATGACGATTCTGGGAACTTGAAAAACAAAAATTATGGCCCTGGAGGTCCTGCAACCTTTTCAGGAAGAGAAAGTATACATCAAGAAATCTTTACTCTTCTCTGTCGTGAAGCCGAGCTTTTATCATCTATCGGAGGAAATGGATTCAAATTAGCCACTGATAGCCCTCTTCATCTTGAGATTGACCTTGTCAGTCCTCTGAGACCTGTTCTCCTGGCTTCAGTTGCTTTTCACGAGCAAATAATCAAGCCTCATGCTATGTGCTCTATTACATTGTCCCTGCTTTCTCATCTACCTCTTCCAGTTGAAATAGATCATCTAGAAGTTCAGTTCAATCAATCTATGTGCAACTTTGTCATCAGGAATTCCCAGAGGCCTCTGTGGGCTACTTCATCTAACACTGTGCAAAGTGGTAGCCAAGTGGAGAATGAGCCATCACTGGTGCTTGTGCCGAATAATTGGTTAAGGTTGACATATGCAATCAATTCTGGTTAGTGTGATTTAATTATAAGGGTGTTTTTTGTATCTCACAGACTTGCACGTATAGCATTTTTATTCATTGAAATTCAAACCTGGTTTGGACTTGCTCGTATTCTTAGTTACCAGTTTAGCAGAACTGAAGCTACAGAACTTGTATCTATTTAATGAAAGCAGCAGGAAAGTGGTTTTCTCAGCTGCCTAACTTTTAACGCATTTCTTTGTTTCATCTGTAGAGCAAAGCGGCAAGCTTGAGTGTCTTTCAGTTCTCGCAAAATTGGGCCCTCTTTTCACAATCTCTTCAAGAGCCGAGAGTCCTGCTGCGATGGAGGATTTGTCTGTCTGGAAGCATGAGAATCGTGTGGAATCTCTGCCAACAAAGGACCCAGTTCTTGCAGTATTTGGCCAGAAAGCTACTCAAGTTGATGAACTTGAACCACAGGTGGACGTCAGTCTAGGTGCTTCTGGTCCTGCCTTAGTTGGAGAAGATTTTACATTGCCTATAGTTGTAACGTCAAAGGGTCATGCTGTATACAACGGTGAATTGAAAATTAATCTAGTTGATGTGGGTGGTGGTGGTTTGTTTAGCCCAAGAGAAACAGAACCGTTTTCTCTCGAAAGCCATCATGTTGAAATCTGTGGTATTGATGGGGCAGAGGGAAACGATGAATCTGAGTCTGAAACAGGGAACATAAAGAAAATTCAGCAATCTTTTGGGTTGGTATCTGTTCCAGACCTGAAAGAAGGGGAATCATGGTCGTGCAAACTAGAAATCAAGTGGCATAGACCCAAGCCTGTCATGCTTTTTGTGTCATTGGGTTACTTGCCACATGGCAGTGAAGACAATACCCAAAAAGTTCACATACACAAGAGCTTGCAGATCGAAGGGAAGATGCCTCTTTTAATAAGCAGTCAGTTTATGTTGCCATATAGACGGGATCACCTATTGCTCAATAAGATCAAGCCAGCCCCTGATTCTGAAGACATGTCTTCTCTGCCACTGAACGAAAAAAGTGTGTTAGTTGTCAGAGCCAAAAATTGTTCAGAGATAGCGCTGAAACTGGTGTCCATGTCCATTGAATTGGACGATAAGCAGGGGGAAACTTCATGTTTGATTCACCAGGGTGGTGGGTGTGGAGATTCCCCAAGCTCTGCTAATCTTGCGCCAGGTGAAGAGTTCAAAAAGGTTTTCACAGTCATACCAATAACGAGAACTTCAAAGCTTGATTTGGGATCAGTGCATTTAAAATGGAGGAGACAGGGAAGTAACATAACAGAGGCATGTGTTTTGACAAAGCACAAACTTCCTGAAGTAATTGTGGAGGCATCACCACTGGTAATGAATTTGAGCTGTCCTCCATATGCCATTCTCGGAGAACCATTCACTTGCGCTGTTAGAATCTGCAACCAGACACAGTTGCTGCAAGAAGCAAAGTTTGCTCTGGCTGATGCACAGAGTTTTGTTCTGTCTGGGTCTCACAGCAATACGATTTCAGTCCTTCCCAAGTCAGAACATGTCTTAAGTTATAAGCTAGTGCCTCTGACTTGCGGTGAACAGCAACTCCCGAAGATAACTTTGACATCAGCTCGATATTCTGCTGAATTTCAGCCATCTGCGGTTGCTTCAAGCGTCTTTGTGTTACCCTCAGCCTCACATGCCAAGAAAACCAACTCTACCGTGAAGTAGTGTAACTTCATCTGAGTTGGGTTTCCAGATGTCTATGCAATCTTAGCCATTTGTGGTTAAGTAAGACATTGAATCAGTTTGGTAAATTTTGTTCCTGAAGTGTCGGCTATGTTGTATTTTCTTTTGTTGATAATAATGGCTATTTTTGGAGAAAACGCAAACCTCAACACATAGGACTAGGATATGCATCTATGTAATGTATGGGACATGGTCTATTTTGATTCAGGGCACCGGCATATGTTTGTGGCAACTGTTTTTCGTTTAATGCAAATAGTGTGTGTGTATTTAAAACGACCATTCATCATGGTCAAGCGCAAGCGCAGATAAACATGCAAGATCTGTAATCGGAACCTGTAACCTCAGGGCAACATTATTGGGGATAACCTTATAACAACATGACAACCAATAAGGATGGTCTTATATATTCAATGAATTGGGCCTATAGTTTTGTATTTGGGCATCATATTAATTTCTCAGGCTTGTAATTATTTCTGCACTTCGTCTCTTGGCACTTACCTCAAGCTTCCCGAATCTAGATCACTCGCGGCTGAAGTTGGAGGGTATTGATGGAAAGCCGACCGGGAGTCTTGGTCGTCGGATCCTCTGGCGTAGGCAAGCGCACTCTCCTCTCTCGTAAGCGCACCCTTCTCCCTTTGGATCCGAATCCAAAATTTTGTTTTCCTCTAATCTAGGGTTTTCCGTTTATCCATGCCGCCATACGACCTTTGTTGGCTGTATCGTTTGAAAAAGTATGTGATTACAGGATTGCTCTCCGTCGAATTTGAGGATTCATCGGAGTCATCATCTCAAGCAGAAGTTCATGGGTATGGATGTGTGTACCCATTTTTTTGGAGAATTTCTCACCGTTTTAAGTATTGTTTGAATATTTTCTGTAACATGTGGGCAGCTGGACGATCAACACTAAGTATTACACGGCTGATGTTTCTGTATGGATATCACATATTCGCGAGGACTACTCTCTACCCAATCTCCCGGAGTCACATCCATTGGTGGCCTTAGTTATGGTCTTCGACTTGAGTGAGGTTTGACATTGATACACCTGTGTCTGACTCATTATTCTCACTTTACCATCCCCGCGTAACCGTTGTACCCGACTCTTTGCAGCTGTCAACTCTTGTTGCTCTTCAAGACTGGGTTTCTCATACTGACATCAACAATTTTGATATATTGTTGTGCATTGGTAACAAAGTAGATCGTGTCCCTCACCACCCAGCTCATGATGAATATAGACTGCGCCTTTTGAAGGCAACAGACCCCTCTAGAAATATGTATCTGGACACTGATGAGTTTGGGATCTCTGAAACGGAAGGAAGCAGTTTGTTGGGAAGTGAAGATACATCATTGGATATCAGGGCAACTTGTCTTGAGTGGTGCTGTGAGAATAACATCGAGTTCATTGAGGCTTGTGCCTCTAATCCTGATTTTGACAAGTGTAAGTTCTATGTTTTTCAGACAATCCTCCCTTCTTCATATTGACTGCAACGTTCAGGTTTTTACTTGGTTTTCCTTGTTTCCTATAAATATGAAAATAAAATTGCTTGTACTGAACTTGCAAAGTGATTGAAAATGGATGAGCAGAGAATATGTATTCGTGTCGAGCATTAATGAGGCTCATGGATTGGTCTTTGTAGGTTTATCAGTCGATGGAGATTCTCAAGGGGTTGAACGTCTATTTGGTGCTCTTTCGGCACATATGTGGCCTGGGATGATTCTGAAATCGGGGGATAAGATAAGTGAACCGGTGTTAGCTCAAGGGGAAGGTTTTATGTTCCTTCCATTTTCTTCTCCCATATATGTTAAGGGTTCCTGAAACATACCAGGATTTCTGACCCGGGTAGAGTTTATGTCCAATTACTTCTTGATCAAACACTTGGTCAGATTGTCGGCCAAGAAGTTGTTGGACCAAAACTCTACCCGGGTGAGGACATTTCATTTCCTCTTGGATTCATGTTGATTGGGTCTTATATTTCCTCGTTGTCAGAGTTGTCAGAAGAAGAATCTGAATACGAATTGGAGTATGAAGTGTTATCAGCAGGCTCAGGTGATCCATGGGAGAATATGGACGAAAGATGGATTTCTGCCACTGGAACGCATTCATTTGTAGATGTTGGCGGATCCACTTCACAGGAAGACCTCCATGTAGAAAACAGTATGGTGAAAATGAATAAAGCTGTGGATGAAGAGTTGCAGCTGTCACACTCAAGGTTAGAGCCGCAGAATGACACTGACAGAGCAATAGTAACAGATGAAAAACCTTTGGATACAGAAAATGAGAAATGTTATGAGTTTGAAGACGTGGAACAGTTGATGTCCGAAATAGGAAACATCCGGGACAACTTGCGATTGATGCCTGATTTCCAGAGGAGGGAAATAGCTGCAAATTTAGCGATGAAAATGGCCTCAATGTTTGGAGGTAACAGTGATGACGAGGAAGAACTTGAGTAAGTCCGTTTATTTTAAGTATTGTGGAATGTCAGCGGTTTAATCAGTTCTTTATACAAATTTATCAAAAATTGTTTCTTGAGTTGGGTTAGATTGTGGCAGTATTAGTCAGTTGTACGATGTAGCCTGTTATGTATCTACTCTTTCTCTACATATGTAAGAGCTCTAGCAAACAACCTTATACAGAAATCCTAGTTGGTAACATTTGGCAAAGCAATTATTGGCATACAGGTAATAGAAAACAAAAACCCGAATGATGGAATTCGTTCTGCGTTCATTTTGATATTTAATCAATATCATTAGCAGGAACAGGCTTCACAAAGGAGAATTGGTTTCCAGGACTAATATCTCCACTATAGTCCATCTCTGTGGGTGGATCACCAATCCTGACAGTAGTCTGTCCCTCTATCGGTACAGGAGTTAATGGCTCAGCTTCAAGATCAGACATGCTTTGGTCTTCAAAATTACTCATGTAAGAGGCTGTCGAGTGACCGGTGGTCTTGGAGCGGAGTAAAGTAGCTCCAGAGGCGTGAAAGGCTGAAGTAGAGGTGTTGACACTGTCAGAACCCCCAAGGGTCTCTGTTGCTGGCTTTCTCGTTTTGCCTTTCTTCTTCTTCACAGTCATGTGCCATTTCTTCAACGCTTTTGCCGTTTGCTCATCAAACACAGCTTTCTTCATGTGTGAACCCATCTGCCCACATCATCTAAAATAAGTTTGTTGCTTTGTCGCTACTGTACTACCATATAGTTTCGTAGACAAACAAATCTGGAGTATAAAACCTGGAAATTAGGATAATGTACCTGAGTAACTAGTGCATACAATGGAAGTGTGATGTAGCTGCACAAAATCAAAGCTCCTACGCTGCAAATTTATCAAACATGTTAAGCTAATTGCTCCAAGAGAGATGTATCAATTGCTTCCCAATAATGATGCTCTTAATCGCTAGTGAAGAATAAGTTTTACCCTAGAGAGAGTTTTACGATGACAAGTTTGAAATTCGTGTGAAAACAAGATTTTAGCCCAAAGGAATACTGCATGCAAAATTAAGGAAATGTATTAGTCACTCCTATCATTGGAGATATAGAAGAGAATACATCAGCGAGAAGGGAAACTACTGAATTGGGCATAGAAATGAGAGAGATTACCCAGACCCAGAAGAAGTATGTTATCTGGAAAGCATTCTATACAAAAAGAAGAGGCATTTAGACAGAAGTTGTAGCATGGGACAAAAGATGAACACAAGTATAATACATTAACATGCAATGCTGATTTTGTTTGGAAGTAAAAGCAATGCAACTACCTGAAATAAGGCGAAATGAAGAAGATGAAGCAGCAACTGAGGGCGATTAAACCAAAAGTACTTATCTGAACCATGCACAAGAGGTATCCCTTGAACAACTGCGTGTCTCTCAGTGATTCCCAGAGCCATTCTTGTTAGTATCGCTTGAAGCTTCGTACTTACAGCTAATATGATCTGCAAGGGTTGTAAAAAATGAGACTTACATGCCCCTGACACAGTAAAAGATTCGCTCAAGAGTGTATACTTGTCTTACAAGTACAGGCAGGATTGACGCCCAAAACAATGTTTCCCAACCTAAACAGAGATGGGAGAAATTTTCAGTACTTTAATACAAGGCAAAGACAAATGATTAGGTAAAGCAAGCCAAGGCTCACCATTAACATTCAGAAGTAGAAAAATTACAAATGATGCCCACAGAAGAGGACTGCAGAGAAAAATTTATCAGCCATTTTAGCAAACACCTCAACACACGCACTAGCATTGTTTTGTGTTACATACCTTATTCCAACTACCACCTTGAAATCGTCTTCCAGTGATCTTTTGATATATTTCTGGAAGTCGAACTTCCTTCCCGGAGCTAAATGGGCCTAAAGGAGACTCACCCATAAACACCACCTTATTGTTAGATAAAAAAAAAAAAAAACAAGAGAGGATTGAGTTTTGCCTTACAGCTATGAAGCCGTGGCGCAGAGTTAAGTAGTCGGTCCTCCCGACAGATCGGAAAAACTGCTGTAGGAAGCAACCCTGTAAATCAGATGGTTGAGAGATTAATATCAATTGGGATTGCTAAAGAGCTAAAGAAGAAGGAAATACGTTTCTCACAGCATAAAAGAAGAAGGGGACTTTTGTCCAGAAACTGGAATGTTGTCTAACGAATGACGTCTCGTGAGTGAGCCTGAATCTTGATGGATCTATGCATAGAGAGGAGCCACTTTAGTGACCTATAAAACAAGTACTGATGAAGAAGAACTCGCCTACCAATTGAAAACTCGTAATCATGAGAAAATGTCTCCTGTTCCCACTTTTTCCAGCCACGGATCTGCAGTTACATAAAAATGATGAAATAGTTAGGACTACGAAAGGAGGTTTTCGAGGTAAGGAAGTCAGGCTTGTTGTACCTTGAGTCTGCCAAGCATCATGGTGATGAAACTGTAGAGGATATGAAAGGCAGCCATGAAGAACAATAGAATGTGTAGCTGGTGCAAACCTGTGGCAGGTATGAGTTGTTCATGACCCTGCGGAAAAGAAAAGAGTGTGATAGAAAAAAGAGAGAGCGTAAAGTTTGTTATTAATTAGGAAAGCTAGAGATGACCTCATCGCAGCGGGAAGAGGTAGCAGCAGCAGATAGACGTCTGCGGTGGGTTTTGTCTTGGTCATGAGTAGAAGGAGCTGGACAAGGTAACATAGAGGCTGCAGCCTTTTCAGGAATACAAATCTTGAGAATGTACTGCTCTCCGAAGGTGAGCAACAAGGAAATGAATCCTAGAATCATCAGCTCTGCATCCAGTTCATACATCTCAGTGTTTTCTTAATTAAAGACAGTAGAAGATAACCAAGTCTCTGCTCTTACCGGCTTTTATTTTTTCCAAGGCTTCAAGCAGAGAGTTCTTATGTTTCTCCCACAGCCACTGAGGAAAAAAAAAAAAAAAGGAAACAACGTTAAAAGGGCCGCCAACACTTGCATAACTGAAAGAAGCAAGAGGAAATCTAGGGAAAAACCGTGGCAACTCTGTGAAGAGCCTTCTCGAGGAGAACGGAGACAAGGATGAAGAAGGTACATACGAGGGCGACGGCCCAAGTGGGAGTTTGGGAGAGCCCTTTCTCTTTGGCGTCGCCTGCAGAGGAAGCTCGGGCGTAGCCGGTAAGCAGCAGAGAGCAGAAGAGTGAAGTGGTCCAACACCAAAAGCAACTTGTGGACATGGCAGCCCAACGAAGAAAATCTCGTGTCGTTGATTGCGTAAAAATAACAAGGAGACGGAAAAAAACATAAACAGGATAAATGCGATGTTGACTTGAACGTCCGTTTAACGTGCAGAACAATAAATTATGGGAAGAGAGATGATTTCAATCATCAACGTTTGTCTATAACACTGAAGGTTGAAGAGGATTAGCCTAAGACGTTTGTGTGTGTCTCTTCAAGTCTCTCTGCTAGCCCTTACCCGTGAGCAACAAACTAATATCACTGTTGTGGCTCTATCAAAACTAAGTAGGAGTCTTATTTCACTTTCTTATCTCACCCTAACACAAATGACAATTTGATTGCCTATGGCAGATCTGAGGGGGTAGAAGAACAGAAACGTTCATATATCCAACATACTCATCAATCTTTGTTGACTAATTGGTTAATGCTTTTATGATTGCTTTCCCCTTTTAAGTTTGTCTCTTTCTTTTCCACTTTTAGTACCAACTTGCACCTTTATAGATTACAGAATGTTATCTTACTCTTGGCTATTGCTCCACTAGACCACTACTACCTCGCCCCTCCTTTTTTTGTATTGTTTTCTTAGATTTTTATCTAAAATGATTGTGTATACATGGAAGATTCCCAACTCCCTGGCCTGGGATAACTAATATGATTAGAGAAGTTTTGAACAGTAAGACTCTCTTTTTAGTTTCACGTAATCATGTTGTAAAGTTTATTTTGTAGGTATTCTTGACAATGATAAAACCCAGAAAAAAAAAAAGACCTTCGTTCTTTATTTGATCATCAATTCATCATCTACCGTATTTGTTATAGTTTGGCTAGACATAGGCATGTCAATTAGGGTTAAAACCCGCATACTAGTCCGGCCCGGTTTTGAAAAACATCGGAAACAGACTTAAATATATATGTTCAAGAAAACCGGATAGTTTAGACTAAAACCCATTTGAGTTAAAGAGTTTTCTAGGCTTAACCCGGTTGGGATCGGGCTTAACAAAAAAGCTCTTAAACAACTATATATTTGATTTTTTAAAATATTTTAATTTGATTAATGAATTAGTTATCATATTTACTTATTAGCCTTACTTGATACTTTAAAAAAAAATTATGACTTTTTCTATGGTACGATGTATTCTTGTTATAGTATACCTTAAATATATATATTTTTAAAACCATTGTGAAGAGTTTTTTTATCTGTAAGTAGCCCAAAAAGCCCGAGGACCGGGCCCATGGTGACTTATATATGAATAATTTAGAAAGTTAGAAACTAATGAAAATGGGCTAAAAGCCTAAAACAATATTCAGGCCTCATACATTACCTAATTCTATGGGCTCTATTAGGCCTATCTACTTACTTAAACGGATTGGGGATATAAACTCTAGTATAGCCGACCAACTGTTTGTTGATTACTCCTCATTTGGTATATTATACAAACTACAAAGTAAACGGTGCCCTTCTGTCGCGACCACGCCATTTCCATGTCATGCAACAATCTTATCTCCCGGACTTGTTCTACCACGAAACCTGATCTCATCATCCTTTACCTTTTCGTGTTTAAAAAAATATTTGACGACCTCTTACTTTAGTTTAAGTCTTATCCTGATTCGTGAGCTAAAAATACGTGCTTCTCCGAGACATACAAGCAAACGACTGTTTCCCCTTCCTCTAGTTTGGTTTACTCCCACAAGTTTCTTTTAGCCTATCACTTTTTAAAATTGATTAAATACACTGCAACAAAATATATAAAAAAGCTGGGGGATATAATTTACAAAGGAGGGTTCGGAGTTCAGTATGATGAGAGCATCGTTACAAACGATATGATATGCAGGATATATGAGATTATTTTCCTCAAATTAAATGACACTGTTCTTTTTCATATGTGTGTATGTGCTGCGTTGGGATGAGATTATTAGAGTGGCTTGTGAAAGTGATCATTTCTTAACAGTTGACATTTACTATTGATCTTTGTAAAGTAGAGAATATGAGGAGTACAGTGGACTTGGCATCGCAATCGCAGCCATCTCTGAAGCTCGGACATCAAATTCAAGAGATGTTTACCCTTTTATATATATATATATATATATATATATATATATATATGTTAGAGTGATAAAGACAAATTATATTATGATTAAAAGGTCAAGATTGGCCACTTTGGAAAAATGTTAATAGTTTGTGACAGCTTAGGTACTTCTGACTCATGTGCTCAAATATCATGTATAGTTAAGTTGCGAGTCTGGTGCACGTGCATAGCCGTCTTTTAGCCAAGTGCATTTGTTAAAATTTATTGAAGGCGTCTTTGGGCTGGACATATGAGATACATCTCAAAAGAAAAAAAAAAAAAAAGAAAAACAATCGGAAAGAAAGATATTGGGAGCAATAGCTATAGCTTGACGACGAGTCTTACCTTTGATCCTGTCAACATTAACTTGAGACGATCCCAAAAGCCTTTTCGTCCCATTGAATCTTCTAACTTTGATGTCCATGTGATTTCCTATGTCCACCCACCTGAGACCAACAGTACCCAGAAGCCAACTTGTCCTTTTACTCACCTTTCTTGCATGCCTTCTCCTCCTGTTGAAAAGTTGGAATCTTCTTCTTATTACCCTTCATGTACCCCCACTCCTCTAAGTATTTATATATATTCACATCCATTCTCTCCATCTACATAAACAGCCAGAATATCAAAACTTTCATCTCTATATTTTAGGTTGACTGCTTCTCTTCTTCTGCAAGAAACCAGAAAAAAAGAGAGAGGAAAAAAAAGAGATTAGGGATGGGTTTCTTGGAGTTGTTGGAGGTGGCTTCAATGCCAATCGTTCAAGTTCTTCTTATCAGCGTCCTTGGCGCTTTCTTGGCTACAGATTACTGCTCTCTTCTCTCTGCTGACACCAGAAGATCCGTGAACAAGGTAGCCTAACCTTCATCTCTGCTTTTCTTTTTCTTCTTATTATACCATGCATTCATATATCATCACTAATAAACATTTTCCTTTGCTGCAGCTCGTTTTCGTGGTCTTCACCCCCTGCATCATGTTTGCCAACCTTGCCCAGACTGTCACGTTACAGGACATTATTTCATGGTACGCACCACCAGTCTTCCCTCAGCTCTATGAGAAAACGTGTGGCTTTGATATGAACATAATCAGTTTTGCAGGTGGTTTATGCCCATAAATGTTGGAATCACCTTTCTAGTCGGAGGCATTCTTGGATGGCTGTTAGTCAAGCTGCTAAACCCCAAACCTCAGCTTCATGGCCTCATAATTGCTACATGTGCCTCAGGTAACATTAAAATCTCAAAAAATTAACCAGGGAGACCCATGAATGTAACATGAATCATATATATATGTACTCCCGTACAGGCAATATGGGAAACCTTATGCTTATTCTGGTCCCTGCCATCTGTGACGAGGAAGGCAGTCCTTTTGGGAATCGGAGTGTCTGCAGATCCGTTGGACTCTCCTATGCATCTTTTTCTATGGCCGTAAGTCAAACCAAACATATGATATTCTCTTCTCGGACTTGTTGTTAAATTGATCGTGATTAATTTTTGTCAAGGGCAGCTCGGGGGTTTCTACATATGGACGTACAGTTACCAACTGGTGAGAAGTTCTGCTACACAGTTTAAAGCTCTTCCAGCGGCCGGGTTGGTCAAGTCTCCCAACAAGGATATCGACTCTGATCCCCACACTCTTCTCCTCAAGCCGCATCAAAACCAAGACCTTGAAATACAAGGCAAACAAAAAGTGTCTACGAGTTCATATATCAAGAACTTGCTACATCAGATTCTTGAGGAACTCTTCGCACCACCCACCATTGGCGCCGTAAGTTAAAAAAAAGAAGACATGATTTCGTTTCTAATAACAAGTAACAAAACCACTACTCTAATGTATTGTGATATGTTCCATTCAGATTCTTGGCTTCGTCTTCGGAGCAACCAATTGGCTAAGGAATCTTATAATCGGAGAGAATGCCCCGTTGCGAGTCATCCAAGACTCAATAAAGCTGCTTGGGTATGGACTCATCTTTATAGATATGGAAATCACATATCCTATTGGGCCTAATAGCTGACTTGGCAGGGACGGCACAATTCCTTGCATCACACTCATACTGGGGGGAAACCTGATTCAGGGCCTGCGGTCTTCAGCCGTGAAGACATCAGTGATTGTGGGAGTGACCTGTGTGCGCTATATCATCCTTCCAGTGGTGGGAGTCGGGGTGGTCCAGTTAGCAGGAAATCTAGGCTATCTTCCTTCGGACCCTCTCTTCCGATACGTTCTCATGCTACAGTTCACACTGCCGCCTGCCATGAATATCAGTAATTACTTGAGAGACATATATCCATCCCCATTTCATTGTTAGCTAGCTAGCTATGGAAACTTTAACAAACATATATATAATTATGGATTGCAGGCACAATGGCACAGCTGTTCGATGTGGCTCAAGAGGAGTGCTCGGTCATCTTCTTGTGGACCTATTTGGTTGCATCCTTAGCCCTCACCGTATGGTCAACCATCTTCCTCTCCATCCTCTCCTGAATCTGATTTGAAAAGAGAGAAGGAGTTTGTCGGTCTTTGTATGGATCGTTTTGATTTGTTGATACTCTCATCTCATATCATATGTAGCTAAGTAATTTTATTTCGTTCTCACATGTTACCAAAACAAAACAGAAAGACAAAAGAATCTGTTTCACATAAGCCAATGAGCGTTTGTGTGGACTATTTTTACTTGAGATTAAAAAAAAAGAAAAAAAGAAGAGGAATTAATGATGGGTGGGCTCAAAGAGAGAAAGAGAAAGCGGAAAGCCCAAATAGGGGAGAGGCGTGTCCAGTCAAGTTGGCCACAGAAGGAAGGAGACGTGCGCGCGCTGCATCTTCCACGTTACTTTGCTTCAATTGGTTCAAAGCTCTTCAATCATTTTGCTGAAACTTCTACATTCATATCTTCACACCTGTCCGCTCCTCCTTGCCTATCCTTTATTTTTTTCTTTCTAATTATTGATTTGGGTTTTATTAATCTGGGATTATACTATATTAATATTCGAATTCAACAGCTGTCATAAGTGTTCATTAAAAAAAAAAAAAAAAAGAGTTTGGTTGAAGCCAAAAAAAAAACATGTGGCGGTCGATACACTAGGAGTCAAAAACAAATATTCAGAGGTTTTTATAGTGTAAGCAATAAAATGTTTCTTAAATCGATAAACCCCAAAACAGAGCCAATGAGCACCGGTTTGTATCTCTCTTAATTAATTTTTAAAAGAAAGATAGAGAGATAGAGAGATATTTAATAGTTTTGACCACACAAACTACAACACAGCCAATTCCAATTCCATTTCCAGAGATCGATCGTGACTGTGACTCTCGCTCCTCTCGGTTCTTCTTCACTCTCGATCAGTCAGATCTCGTCGGCATGAGGTACGAGCAGGATGCTGGATCGTCCTCCCTCTCGCTGCCTTCGGGATCTTCCTCTCAGTCGCTGCCGCCGACGGAAGACACTCCTCTTTTGGGGCCTCGCACATTGTCTTCGCAGCCTAAAACCTTCGCTAATGTCTTCATCGCCATCGTCGGCGCCGGCGTGCTCGGACTTCCGTACACCTTTAAGAAGACCGGGTGGCTCTTGGGCCTCCTCACTCTCCTCTTCGTCTCCTCTCTCACCTTCTTCTGTATGATGCTCCTCGTCCACACCCGCCGGAAACTCGAGTCCCTCTCCGGCTTCTCCAGCATCACTTCCTTCGGAGATCTCGGCGAATCCGTCTGCGGTCCCGCCGGCCGTCTCGTCGTCGATGTTATGCTTGTCCTCTCGCAATCTGGCTTCTGCGTCAGTTACCTTATCTTCGTCGCCACCACAATGGCCAATCTCCTCAACCGCGGCACCGAGCATATCCTAGGCCTCGATCCTGCATCCATTTACCTCTGGGGTTGTTTCCCCTTTCAGCTCGGTCTCAATTCCATCCCTTCTCTCACCCATCTCGCCCCTTTGAGTATATTCGCCGATATCGTCGACGTCGCGGCCACCTTGGTGGTTATGGTGCAGGATGTTTTCATCTTCCTCAAACGAAGACCTCCCTTGAGAGTCTTTGGAGGCGTCTCTGTTTTCTTCTACGGATTGGGAGTCGCTGTGTACGCTTTTGAAGGGATCGGAATGGTAACAACGTTAGCAGATCAACCACAATTCCTCTCTATTGCCTCTCTTTGCTAAACTAAACTTGCGGTTGGATGTGAACAGGTTCTGCCACTGGAGCTGGAGGCCAAATACAAAGACAAGTTCGGTAGAGCGCTGGGGCTAGCCATGGGCTTAATCTCGATCATGTACGGTGCGTTCGGGCTGCTAGGCTACATGGCTTACGGCGAGGACACGAGAGACATCATCACCACGAACCTGGGGACAGGAGTGGTGAGCACTCTGGTCCAGCTGGGTCTAGCGATCAACCTCTTCTTCACATTTCCCCTCATGATGCACCCTGTATATGAGGTGGTTGAACGCCGCCTCTGCAGCTCCCGCTACTCCGTCTGGGTGCGCTGGGCCACTGTGCTGGTGGTCACACTCGTGGCCCTGCTCGTCCCTAATTTTGCAGACTTCTTATCTCTGGTGGGGAGCAGCGTTTGCGTTGTGCTGGGCTTTGTCTTGCCATCCCTTTTTCACTTGCAGGCTTTCAAACACGAGTTGAGCATCACAAGAATAGTGGTCGACGTTCTTGTTTTCCTCATTGGTGTTATTATAGCCATTACCGGGACTTGGACTGCCGTACACGAGATCCTGACATCCAAGGCCTGATTTTCTTCTATTGTTTTATTTTTGTCGGTGTAAAAAGAGAGAAGCATTTGTTGTTACCTCCACTCCAGAGAAACACGGCTGCATTATTGTTATTCTGTTACTCTCCTTACTTGTGTATTGTTGAGTCTTTTTACTCTATTTGTAAGAAAGACCCATGAAAACAAATAAGAAAAAAGCATGCTTAGAATCATGCGTGATTAAAGTAGTGGTTTGAGATCATATGACATCGGATTAGCTAGCGGAAAGAGCTCCACAGCTGTGATATGTGGAAGTAACAGGAACGTCCGGCCACAAATAAAAAAGGTTTCAATAATTGTGTGTGTTTTCTTATGTATTATTTTCATTAGCCTCTCCAATCTCACTCGCTTTCTAAAGGGACTTGATCATATACAAACACCATTTGCAGCAAATAGACCCCAAGGAAAAAGAAATAAAAAATTACAGAAGCAAAAAATCATTTGGACTTTGGCCGCCCCCTCTTTCTGGTCACCTGAATCCCTTCTCTTGCTCCTTCTCCACCTGCAGCTGATCCGTTCAGTCTATCGGTATTTAACTCCATGCCAAGGCCATCAAAATCCATCCCCTTGGAAATGACATGCTCTGTATTCAGCCTCTCCCTTGAGCCTAAGGGAACCTCACACTGGTCGTTCTTATGCTCACAACTCACAGAGGAGTTTGGAATTGTGACCTGACTGACGTCTCCTAGTTGCAAGTTGGAGGGTAATTCGTCATTCTTTGAGCACAACAAGTCAGCAGCAACATGCCTCTTCATGTTGTCCCTACCAAGACATGCGTCTTGGACAAGGCCCTGGTTAGGAAAGGAGGCAATCAAATCTAAAGCAGTCTTAGCGGCAGCAATTGCTCTTGCTGCAGCGGCAGCTTTCTCATCTGCAGAAGCTCGGGCGGCCTTTGCAGCTATAGCAGCAGCCGCAGCAGTTGATCTTGAGGCCTCTGCAATCTCCTGAGGAGTCAGATCTGGGTTACTCAAATGCGAAGCTAAAAGAATGTTAAGGTGGTAATCAACATTGGTGGAAGGATGTGGAACTCCATTGTTATCATCAGACGCTTTTGCCAGAGGAGGCATTCGGGGTGGCAGCACATTGACGCCTTCCATGATTAATATAACACATACAAAAGCTGACCCAAACCTCTCTACTCTAACAACCTACAACACAAAATGCCTACGAATTAGATCTTTACCCGGAGGTCAGAATGTTTCAGATACACAGTTCATCAGTATAATAATATCTTTGACAAGGAAAAATCAAAATTCAGCAGTAGAATAGAGAGTGGACCAACAAAGAGAGAGAGAGAGAGAGAGAAGGCGACATCTAACTTTGGCAAATAGAAAGCAAAGATGCATTTCCCGTTTGGAGTAAGATTAGACTTTGAAGGGTTTACCTTGAATGCGCCTGTGCTGTGGAGAAGAAGGCCGAAACTAGGGTTTTGGTTGAAATTCTGAAAAACTCAGCAGAGACGTTTCGAGACGCATTAAATTAAAATTATAAAAAGACCAAGATAGATAGACACTAGATAGATAGATAGATAAAAATTAAAACGCCGTTTGCCGCTGGACAGGATTTGGTTCTTGGTCGCACGCTCCCTCGTTCTTTTCGGATTTCCTGCCATCCACTCTATCTACGTCGAAAGTGCGTGTCGTTCCGTTTCATTTCCTGCCTTGCAAATGTTTGATTTTTTTTTTTTTTTTTTAAATATAATTCTGAAGTAGTCAACTTTTGTATTTTACGTTGACTACTAACGATTTCTTTGAATGTCTGTATTGCATCTGTATGTATTGTTCACGGTTTTTGGGCAGAGTAAATTAATATTTCTGGTTAGAAACATAAATAACCACATACATTTATATCATTAACTAAATTAACGTAGAGAATGATACGAAGAAGAAAACGTAGATGCTTTACAGGTTGATCGAAAAAGAGATGAGACAAGCTGCAAAACCTTTCTAGTGATTCGGCAGCCATCCAGAGAAAACGTCAAAGATATATTTTCTCATTGAATCTCTGTTATTCGCACTCAGATTGATTACGGTCACTCCCGGTTGGTTCTTCAACCTCGCGACTGCAGACAACAAATGATTTTTTTTAAAGGAAATAGATAGTGAACGCAATGCAGCCTGCCATCAGGTTTTCGAGACTGCACGCACCAAACGAGATATATGATAAAAAAATATCAATTGAACAACCACGCATAACTAACAGAGGAGGATGACACAATACAAGATGGACTGACTACTCAAGAGTGAGAAAGTTCCAAACAGTTTTATAGATGAGAGAGAAGGCAATTTGAGTCACCATTGGCACCAGGATTGGAGACAAATACAGGCTGAAAATGATTCTAGCAAAGAGATGAAACCCATATGATTCCTCATTATGTTTGATTCCAAGAAAAAAAATATAAGATAAGAGAATTAATAACCTCCAGGAAGATCTCGACCAAATTTTGAGCTAGGAATGGAAGCAAGAAAGGGAATGTTGGATTCCAAAACCTTGAGGACAGCGGGAAGAAAGGATGGGCTAAACATCTCCATCTTGCCAACTTCATCAATGATGAAAAGATGGGTGTCATCTTTGACCTTACAAAATAAATCAATGGTATACCAGTTAGTGTCCTATATAATAATCCAAGATATTAATACCAGTCAAGGGAATGAGGTGTAAGAAACCTGTAGCTCAGGCAATGCTATCGACTCAAAGGATGCAATGTCCACTTTGTACTTGCCAACACTAGGCCATGATGATGATGTCATCGATCCTTGACTGCAAAAAGAGAACTAGACTAATTGTGAGAGGAACCTAGTGAGTTAAAGCTGGAGGAGGATGGACCTAGAAGCAGTAGAAGAAGCAAGCAAACTTGTGCGGCCATCCAAGGTGACCACTTGAAAACCAACCCTTTGTCCTCGTACCCTCTTCTGGGGGGGGGGGGGGGATAAATATATCACAAAGAAGAAGAAGACTTGATAAATTGATGTTAAAAAAGAGGGAGAGGAGCTTACGAGTGTAGAGACCCTGGATCTTTAGTTTGGGGTTGGAAGCCCTCATCATATCGACAACTCTCATGATCAATGTGGTTTTCCCGACACCCTGCAACATAAAGTGAAATCCACCATATATATATATATATATATATCGAACTGGAAGAGTGATAGGCAAGTGACTAGACTGTATATACCTAATGGTGAAATCATCGAATGTTATCAAATGGTGTGGTGAGTGATTCTAAAACAAACCCTAGAGGTGTTCATGGAGAAATAAAAGAGATCTTATCAAAGAAGTGCTTGAAGAGAAAGAGAAGCTTACAGGAGGACCGGTGACAAGAAGGCATTTCCCGGTGGCTGCCATTTTTGCAAACTATCCAAATCCAACACCATTGCTGCTTACCGCTCCAAGAGGCAATTTTGTGCTAGTGAGTGAGAGCGCTTGAATGGGAGGAGAGTAGAGGATGGATCTGCAAATCCCTCTGACGTTGGGCTTCTTCTTTTGCAATGCGTATGGGCCTAATTAGAATATTGAGCCGTTATAATGGGCTTTAGACTTTCGAGTCCTGAATACTTGATTTATTTAGGGCTATTTATTTTATTTTATTTTATTTTCCCCCTTTTGTGATTGAATTTTCTCATTTCGACGAAACAAAACCGTCGAGACTCGAGAGAGAGAGAGGGAGAGGAGACCTTAGGCGTCGAGCAAGCAGGTCTCATGTACGGATCTAGAGGGTACGTATTCGATCGCTATCTTTCTCGTTGAAACAGTCATTCTCCCGTTGAAACTGATTACGTTTATAAATCGACTTCTTGTGTTCGATTTTCGAATTTAGAGGATTATTATTATTATAGGAACAGGATCTGGAATGATCCATGAGCTACTACTGTCCCCTCTGTAGTGTCATTGTTCGTTTAGGTTGGGTTTTTATTTGTTTCATGTTGTTGTATAATTATAAAGAGCGAAGAAATAGATATATATATTCCTTCCTTAAGTCCCATAGAGAAAGGCAAGTGTGGGTTGGGTCTGGTAAATATTAACTGGTTGAGTTGGGGGATCTTTTTTCCGGGTTTCTTGTTTGATAATTGAAGGGCCATGTTTGGGAGCGGGGGGTACGAGGTTGGATCAAAGAGACAAAGAATGATGCAATCCAATCCCTACTTGGCAGTTGGCAGCGGAGCTACCAGCTTTCCACCTTTCGGATATGGTGGCGGATTCCCAGTTGTTCGCCTCAGGGGTCTTCCTTTCAACTGCTCTGACTTTGACATCTTCAAGTTCTTTGCTGGCCTCGACATTGTCGATGTTTTGCTCGTCACCAAAAACGGCAAATTCTCCGGCGAGGCCTTTGTCCTGTTTTCCGGGCCTATGCAAGTGGAGATTGCTCTACAGAGGGACAGGCAGAATATGGGCAGGAGATACGTGGAAGTTTTCCGCTGCTATAAGCAGGATTACTACTATGCCGTGGCTGCTGAGGAGGGAACCTATGAGTACGATTTCCGTGTTAGCCCACCTCCCGCCGGGCCATCCAGAGCAAAGAAGTTTACTGAGAAAGAGAAGCTTGAGTACACAGAGGTTTTGAAGATGCGAGGCCTCCCTTACTCTGTCAACAAGCCTCAGATCATTGACTTTTTCAGCGGGTTCAAGGTTATTGAAGGACATGTACAGGTTGTGTGTCGACCCGATGGGAAGGCCACGGGGGAGGCATTTGTAGAGTTTGAGACGGTGGAGGAGGCAAGGCGGGCAATGGTTAAGGACAAAATGTCTATTGGGTCAAGGTATGTGGAGTTGTTTCCAACTACTCGTGAAGAGGCTCGAAGGGCTGAGTCCAGGTCTAGGCAATGACTCTGTTCTTCACTATGTATCATTATATATCCTTTGGACTAATTTTGTTAGGTTAAACCCAAAATGTCCATTTGTGGAATCATAGGAATGTATGACCCCGTCTGAGTTCAGTTTCTGCCTTGTGTTCATGATTCGTTTCCAGTTACTGTTAAAAATTAGTGACATTATTCGAATAAATATGTAGCTTGAATTGGTTCGAGCGAAAAGGTGTAGGGGAGCTAACATGAAAGCATTAATGGGTGAGTGAGGATGCCTAACGTTCTACTCATGTATGCTTATATAGTTATATTCAATTTGATCTCGCATTATGAAAAGAAAAGCACAATTGGCATTAATAAACTGAAATCAATTAAACTGAAATCAATTAAACGATCGCTGTTGAATAATGAAAATGTAACGAAAGGAAACAGTGGGCTCCAATTGCACGAAGTTCAAAGGCAAGCTATGGCTTCAAGATCTGGGCTTGTGCAGACGAGGCCGGTTGCAGAAGATCCGGCCGTTGGTCCTTACTAGTGCCGCGACAGCTACACTGATGCCCGCCCAGACCAATGAGAAAAACAAGTGCTTATAACCACGCCCAACTGTATCCAAACACACACTACCTTTGTCAGCCTTTACTGGCCGCATTTATTCCTAAACAAACTTCAGGGATCAAGCTTACCTTGTTTTACAGACATTGTTGCAAACCATAAACTGATCAGGACCACTGTCAATGCCACTGGAAAGTTCTGAGAAATGAGAGATATTTTGATATCAGACCATTATATCCAAAGTAAGTTGCCTCGAATAGTTGAAATATATTATCTGATGATTGTTTACCGCTACAGCCTCGAGACCTCCCTTTCGAGGCACAGGATTCATGTCTCGGCTCACAGCAACTATATAGTGCCCATGCACAAGATCAATCGTATCCTTTGTAGGAACCAAGAAGATGATAAAATAGTCAGTTGAGGTTGAGGTACGAAGTACTCGTAAACAGCTAGTTAGAGCCACTAACCTGCTTAGTTCCATCAGCAAAATTGTTCAGGTAGTAGCGTGCGAGGGCATTCCAGCCATCTTTAAGCACTCCTTGGACAGTCCTTTTACCATACCTACAATTAAACAAGTTTGAGGTAAGGCATGTGAAACCACTTTCTCTAGGGAACTTATGTACTCAAGTCCAAGAGGCAAGAACGTACCTGACAAAGTCTCCTTTAAGTGCAGGGGTGCCTGAGTACTGAATGCTAATGTCATCACCGTGATTAGCCCACACTGAAGGCAACATAAGCAACAGATATAATTGGGTTTAAAATTGTGTATCTAAGAAACTTATTTACTAGTGCAAAACCACATCTCCTAGAAAGGAGAATAAACTACTGACATATCTTATAGCATTCGTCAAAATTTTGATGCGAGCTTATAGCTTCTTCGGCACCGAAGACACCAATCCTTTTGAGTTGAAGTTCCAACATCTTTCGGCCTATCATGCTCTGCATTTTGGCAGGAGGATGAGCCCAGGGAAAAGGCAAAGAGACGAAGGATGTCTAAGAATAGTTTAATACTAGCCTGGGTGACATTTGTACGGTCTAAGCAATCTATGCAGTTTGTTCGCACAGTACCAAGCTGCTCCTTCATTTTCTCAGCCTTTTCATTCAACAAAAAGTACCTGTGTAATTAAACCTGTAGTAAGTTATATTATGCAAGAGTAGATGCCAGGAAATGTACAAGGAAATTAGTACCCGTTTTTCTCGAGGAAAGCCTCAATCTGCTCATACAGAATTGCTAAGCGCTCAAAGTGAATATGCCCACAGATGTGATGGAAATCAAAGTGCAGGTATCTAGAGGATCAGGCGCATCCTTGAGTAAGTCAGTTGATAATATCATCATTTTAGCAGCAAGGGTGTTAGAAGAACGAATAGCTACCTTACATCATCACCAGTGATGTGCTGCATACAGCCTGCAAACTTCTCGCTTAAGCGCCCCTCACCTCCATGCTGATTACAAAATAATAAGAATTTGAACTACATCTTTGCCTTTCACTACTTATATTTACTGATCGGAGGGCTATAAAAACTGAACAGCAAACAGGGGCTGTCAAAATTAATCAAAAGGATATGCACCTTATTGACAAGATCAACCGCCAAAACTGATCCATATTTTTTCCTTAGGTCCAAAAAGTGACGCTCAGCTATCCTCGCCTGTCATGGAGGTTACTTCAAATACTATAAAGGGAAATGGTTAGTTACAAATCATACTCACAGCTTCTTCAGGTTGGACAATCTCAAACTTGGGCTTGTACGTCAGATCAACAATTTGCTCCCACATAAAAGGCATGGATCCTCTAATCTGCAAAATGTCAAACAAATGGTAACTCACACAAACATAAGTAAAATCATCTGACCCAAAGAAGTATGTGAATAAGTGGAATGGATCTATAAAACGACCAAATATTTTGCAAGTCCCGCAAACATGTTGTCAACAATAACATGAACAAAGATTGGTAGGGCCTGCAAAGATGTAACAATGTCACCTGAACAAATGATGATGTGTATCCGTTCATGCGTACAATTTGCTCAGTCTCCACAAAATTAGCAACATAACCATCAGAGTCAGCTCCTCGTCGCCACATGCGCGTACCTTGCAAATGTCGAGAAACACAATCACACAAGGCATATCATCTGGATTCAAAACTTGAAGCTAAAGATATCTGACCAGTTTTGTTGAGTGTAAAATGGAACCACTCGAAAATATAAGTGGTCAGCATGTTTTGGGAGAAATGCATACCATTTCTTCTAGTGCACCTCCTAGCAATCAGAGTTATGTCGACGATATCTCTTCCAATCGCTGTTTGAAAACTACTGAAACGTGATTCAGAGTTAAGGAATATTGTCTAAACCCACGATCCACCATAACCATGCAGTCAGTGAAACAAGTGAGATAGTAGGTAAAAGGATATTCCCTTGAATTACTGGAAGCAAGAACTGATCAAGCTACAAAATTGAAACAACCAAAGGTGATACATTATGTATTTTGCAGTTACAGAAAAAAATAACAGAGAAGTGAACTGAAATAAGAGTTCACCAACCTTGTTGTCGATAAGAAGTTCCAACATATAATTGTTCCAAAGAAATCTAGGCTCAGCCTGCCAAGAAGATTCAAAAGCTAGCTAGCTAAAATTTCAATCCATCCACGAGAAACAAGCAACAAGGGCAGACTGTAAATCGTATAGGACACCTACCTGTCTCCACAGAGGAAGCGACTTAGACTCATCACCCAAATCATGCAAGCGCTGAGCACTGAAACAAAGAACAAACATAAAAGACACACATGACATGATTAAGCAAAAAAACGTGAGGTCTTTTCCTCTTTCCTTGCAGAGCGAGCGTACCTAAGAGTCAAGTTAATTTCATATGAGAAGTAGAGACCAGTTGTCCTCTCAGCGACACTTAGCAGCCTAGAGAAGTCTGTCTCCATCTTTATCTGCAGAAAGCAGTTTTGAGCGTTCAGCTCCATTAATTGTTGCTTGCAGTGCTGATACAATAAGAGGAAGATGGAACGCGGAGTCACCTGTTCTTCAGGCAAGTTTTTAACTGAATGATCGCAAGGAAGAACCTTGAGCGAGTTGATTTTGAATATAGGATGGCCCAGAAACGAGCCAACAGATTCGCTCTCTGTCACAACTACCAAGTAGGATCCTGAAAATCAAGTATATGAAATTTGCTGTAATTGGTTCAATACGAATTGAAGACATTGGAAAAGACAAAAAAAAAGAAAACAATGGTCGATAGGATCAAACCTGCCAGGAGCTTCAGCATCCCAACCACACCGAAAATGGAACGTATTTTGGGGACGCGCAAAGAGTTGCATTCTGCTACTTGATCTGACAAAGAAAAGTATTTTGTGTGCGAGAGAGTGAGAGAGAGCAAATGATCCGAAAGAGAGAGAGGCAAACAGAAAACGCACCAATGAGCTTCATGGAGCCATCAAGACGACTAATGTCCAAACATGATGCTCCTGAACCATCGGTTGGCTCGATGACGTACTGATCAGGGAATTCCCATAAACGCAAGCCAGAGTGTAATTTGTGTTTACCCTCCATTGGTTTCGGGCAAGAGCAAGTAACAACACTCTAGTATCAATCAAATCACCTTAACCTCTGGATTATTTAACGAGATCAGAACAGAAACTAAGGCCCTTGAGGCAGAGTGTGAGTGAGACCCGTTCAGATTTTTTCCGTACTACACGGGTTGACCAATATACAAGTCGACATTATTATTTTTTATTTTTTTATGTTAATTGTTTTTAGTTTTTACTTACCTTTTTTTTTTTTTTTTTTAATAAAAGAAATCATTATTCCGATAATCAGCGGTTTCGCTTGAAATAATAATATTACTCCATTCATGGCCCAACTCAACTTACTGGTGCTTCTTTTCTTTACAATAAACAACATCTAGACAAAATTGTTATTTCACTTTAACATTCATTACACAAAAACGAAGGACTTCAAACACAACTCATATGTATCTTGGCCCAAAAGAATGTGGTAGCTCCCCTCCGCTCCCCTACTAGGAAAACGAGAACCTTGAGAAGAGTGATAGACCTGAACCCTCACTTGCCGGACCTGGAGTCGCCTCTGTAGTTGTTGTCGTTGTAGTTGTTGTGGAGCTATGGTAGGCTTCCTGACACTTGCGGATCTGCCATTTCCATCACAACACATGGTCAGTTAGGATTATTACAGCAATATAAAGACACAGGACGGTCCAATTTTAAGATCTAACCTCCTCTGGGCTGAACTGAAGCAACATCCCCACTACTGGTAGTAAAGCCTCTACTTCACCTGCAACCATCACATGTTATTTTACCCCTACAACATCTAGTTTGCGAATCCACCTTCAACATCCAGAGTTTTACCTGTTTCTAACAGTTTTAGTATCACATTCTTTAGGTATGTCATATCTACACCTTCTCTCTTCTGGTTTCTTTCCATCTCCCTCAACTCCGTCTTTAGCATAGCTTCCTGTAATTAGCATACCCCCAAAGTTTGAAATAAGACCATACTGGCAACGCCACCAAGCTAGCAATTTTATACCTGTTGACTATGCAGACGGTTTTCGCGCTCAAGCTCCTCTATTTCCTCCTGATTCAGAATGTAACAGTTAATAATGGCAACATGGACAGAACCAGATTAAAATCAATTCTACACACCTGAAGAGCTAAAATATGGCGCTGAGTCTGTGCCAACTCTTCTTCTCTCTGAGCTTGTTGCCTTGCCAATATCTGAGATTTAAATATTATGTGTAATGGTTAGCTCTCACTGATTGTCCCCTAGCTATTACATTTGAAAGAAATTAAGTTTTAGGATTAAAGATCACTCCTTGCTCCGACAAGCAGATGGCTAACATTACAAAGTCCTACCAGAATCTGGTGCTCTGCTGCAGAAGTACTCAAGTTAGATACATCCTGCTGTTGGGGCTCTGTACACCGTTTGAAGATATTAAAAGGTTAGTTGATGACAGGCAACCCACTGATTCATTCTTTAAGAAGCCCTGCTATTAAATGGTATCAGACAAACATATCGTACCTGTGTTGTTGTTCCCATAGTGGTGAACCTGAGAGGGAGATTCGTTCCACATAGTGCAACATGAAGAGTGATAAATTCATGTGAAAATTAAATGAAAAGTTACTAGCAAAAGACTGATTAAGAAAAAAAAGAAAGACAAGTAAGATAATACGCAAAAAAAAAAAGCACCATAAACGTACTACTGGTTTTGCTTCTATAGATTTTCGAAGATTTTTATTCTCATCCACAAGTCTGGATATCTCTTGATCCTTCTCCTCAATGAGTCTATCTGCAAGCTCACGTACTGATTCATGCTCCTCCTGTAGGTATGTCAGATTTAAAAAAAAAGCATCGGCAAGCTTTCTTATGAAACCAGAGTACAAATTAAGACTATAACAAAAAAGTGATTTACCTTCAGTCGTTTATTCCGCTGTTTGGCATCTTCTAGTTCTTTTTCTACACCCTCTGCAGAGGAGGCTTCATTTTGAGCAGTTAAAGCTTCACATCTTCCTGTAGATTTACTATAACCTTTTAGGGAGTGAATTTCAATTAATGACAACTAATTAAAAATATCGAATTTTTATTTAAATCAATTACGTCGCCAAGTTTCTTCTAAAACCCGAAGGTCTTCTTCCCATGCTTGTTTCTCTGCCTGATTGCGAGCAACGGTGGACTCGAGCTTCAATTCAAGACTTTTAATCTGCTCCCTGGCATCTTTAAGTACTCCAGCTCTGAAATGGATATGATATAAAAAAAATAGCTTAGACGACCTATATATGTCTGAAGAACTCCACAAAACAGTTCTCAGTTTTTTTCTTGGGTAAATTGAGGAGAATGAGCAGCCAACCTCCGGAATCAAACATGAAAATTTTCCAGTGTGGATAGATACCTTTCGTCAAGTTCTTTCTCAAGACTAGCCAAAGCACCCTGAAGATCTTGCTGTGCCCTATCCCTCTCTGCAGATACCAAATATACTTCTTTTTCAGCTTCCTAACACCACCCAAAAATATAATTAGTTAACAAACATCTAAAATAGCTCCATCGAAATAGTCTAGATAACTTACCTTTAGAGCTTCCTCAAGAGATTTTATCTGTTCAGAGTCGTTAGCTGCAGCCAGCTCCATGTCCTTCTTTTGCAGAAGTGCGTGAGCACGGATCTTGTAAGAAGAAAATTCACTTTGGAGACGGTTGATCTGTGAACCATTACAAGTAATTCAATTTGGTTAAAATGAAGACAAGCTCAGCAGAATATTCCTTAAAGCTCAAAATGGCACTTTGATTCCATGATGATTCATGTTATGTCGTTAAAGAATGGACGACTAATAAATCTGTTCTTACCAACCAAGCTACAATATTTCTTAAAAGAGAAAAAAAAAATGTACCTCTTCTCTTGCACCTTTGAGTTCAGCATCTTTTGTGCTTAGCATCTGGGTCTGCATGGACATTTCAGATCCCAGCTGACCTGAAAAATTATTGGAACGAATTTAAAAAAATTACTGACAAAAGTAAAACATAACTAGAAAAGTGTCAACGTTTCATGAACTACGTAAATTACTTCTCATTTTAGCCACTTCGATTTCGGCCTGTAAGTAATTGCTTTCAGCAGTTTCCAGTTTAGATTTAAGGGCATCACATGAAGCTTCCCAAGTCTCCTTTTCCTTTTCCTGGAAGAACAACAAAAATCCATGGCTTCTAAGAATTACAACATAATAAAATAGAGGAATATATATGGGATAATCATGCTGTCTGATGGAACTCATTTGAACACTAGTATGCAAAACAATTTCTTAGTATAGGAATGGGAAACAATAACAAAGGAAAATTGGGATCAGAGAGTCCAGGGAATCCAACTTTTTATAAATTTCACTTACATTCTCCTCTTTAAGGTGTGCAAGCTCTCCTTTAAGAGTTTCTGCAGCAGCCCTTAGCCTTGCTGATTCGCCAGTTGCAGCTGCCTCCATCTCTGCAATTTTAGATTCCTTCTCTGCAAGAAGTACCTAAAAGAGGTTGTATACTTGGTGTGAAGCATGTACACTTAATTCAAATTACTCTCTCTTGCTCATTTGAAAACCAAAGAAAATCAACAAGTAATGGAACTAAAGAATTTGGAAACAAGACTAACCTGAAGCAGCGAAATGTTTTCGGCTGCTTTGTCCCTCTCAGATAGAGCATCTATGACCTGTGCTTCCAAACTCTCTACGTTCTGTCAAGAAGTTGGAGAGAAGAGAAAACCATGGATATCAATAGTGGACAATGAAAAAAGACAATGGTGGCTCATAGCATATAAGTAGCAACAAAGTTACACTGATGCTGAGTGACTACCTTTTGATGTTTGGCTGACAACTCAGCAACTGCAGTTTGCTTTCTTTCTTCCACAGCTTGTAATTGCTTTTTCAGGTCCTCCAGAATCTAGGATAAAAGCAAGTAAGCATATGAAGCAGACTATACCCGGCCATCCATCCCTATCTCTCTCTGTCTCTCCCTACAACTCTGTTTTTTTTCTAGTTATTGCAGACTATTATTACAGAAAATAAAAGAGATCAGACCTGGTCCTTGTCAAGAAGTGACTGTTGCAATGTCTCTATCGTATTTTCTTTAGGCTGCAATGAGCTGCGTAGCTCCTCGATAGTGTCCCTGAGCCTGTGCATGGGAAAATAAAAATAAATGCAAGTACTCGAAGTGTGGGAAAGATGACATTCATTTGAGACAATTCCGAATAAAAAAAGAATAAGAAGAAGGATAGTTAAAAGGCTACTTGTTATTGGCACTCCTTAGTTGTTGCCTCTCAGCATCCATTGCTTTCAGTGCTTCATTGGCCTGTTGCCTAGTGCGTTCCAGCTCTTGTTGCATGGATGAGTGCTGAGAAGATGCTCGTTCAGCTGTATCGTTCAGTTCCCGGAAACGGGCGTCGAGATCGTCTTTTTCCTGAAGATAGCAATAAATACCATTGAGAGATCGAGTATGCGCATAGCAGCGAAATAAATGTGTTAAATGAAATTCGGAAAAAAATGTAGTTGTAAGGTGGAGGTGGTAATCGGAAATCACAAATGTGGACAACAGAGAAAGTAATCTACAGATTGGGCACACACCTTTTGGATTTCTTGAATACGCTGTTTAGCCCTTTTGTGAAGCCTGGTGAATTTGGCATCCAGGTCGGCATATTTCTCGTCGCGCTCTTTGATTTCCTGGTCCAGTTTCTGTTGAACTAGACCAAAAGAAAAGCACAAGCTGAGAAAATGGAAACAGTCTCTCTAGAGGTTGTTAAAAAAGATGACTGACCTTGGGACAAGTTAGTGGCTTTTGCATCAGCCTCAGAGTATGCTTCCCTTAGATGCTCTAGAGCTTGCTCAGCTGCAACACGAGTTTGTTTCTCGACATCAATCTCTCTGCTCAGTGATGCGACTTGCTGGTGAAGCTGTATAAGCTGAGCTGAGTCCGCTTCAACTAGCTCGGTTTTGTGGTTGGATCTACTTGGCTCTACAAATTGGGATTTGAGAAAGTCATTTTCTAATCTCAGTTGAGAAATCATCTGGAGTAGCTGATCATGGTTCTCAAGCGATCCATTTGCAGTCAGATTCTCATCAGACAAGTCCTTTTCTTCTTGCCCATGGCTCTCCTCCTCCACATCACCAGGTTCCTTGTCTTGGGACATGTTCAGAAAGATATGAACCCCCACCCGAGAGCTGGTGATTGAGTAGAAAATGATGTAAGCGGAGAATTTGGAATTGAATCAACAATCAAAATAGGAAGCAGTGTAAAAGGCAACTAAAAGAAGAGGATTTGATAGTGTAATCAATCGAACAAAGAGGCAAGCAAGCTTACCTATAGATGGACGGAGGAGGGGTCACAGGGAAGCAGAGTGAGATCGCAAGCTTTCTCGATTCCGAAATTGGGATCGGATCTCTCAGCCCCGCACTCCTCCCACAAAAGGTCAAAAACGTCGTCGTCTCTGTCCCGTCCACCAGTGACGGTAAAACAAAACAGAATGGTAAGAAACTTTATAATATGATTTGTGTGAAGGGTGTTTTACTAATGGGAAATATGCATTCAGAACACTCAACTATTTAAGTATTATATGCCAAACCTTATAACTTTTAATAAGGCACCCACCGATCCCGTGGCTAAGACCATCTCCAATGGTTTTTGCTATTTTCACCTCTATTATAGAGTAACTCTATAATAGAGTTGACTTTTGCTCCAATGGTTTCCTCTATTTTTTCCTCTATAATAGAATATTCCAAATAGATTCTTTTAAAATCTTAATGTTAACACCATCTATTTATAAAAGTTGCAAATTAACCCATTTACTTTAACTTTTATAAATTTTTAATAAAATAATTATTTTTATTTAAATTAAACATTTATTATAAAAACATTATATTATATATTATTTTTAATGAAAAGTACATCACACTATATAAAAAAGTAATAAGATACTAGATTCTTAACCATCAGCATAAGTGTATTTTTCCCACAAATGATCAACTAATGTATTTCGAAGTGAGAAATGAGCTTTTTATCTTTTATTTTTCTGAATCGACCTAGAAACTCTTGGAAACGAATATCATCATCTTCTGCTATTTGGACCGCTGGAGGTGGAATTTCTCTTTCAACTTCAATCGGTGCATCGAGATCACGCTCATCCTCAATTATCATATTATGTAAAATTATACATGTAGTTATTATGTCATGTAACACATTTTTTTCCAAAAACGTGATGGTCCTTTCAAATCAAAAGTATTAAAGTAATTTAGGAGAATATTAAGTAATTTTTTTGGTATTAAAAGTATTATTATGGAATAAATGAAAAAATAAAATCTTTTTTTCCTTCAATAAAAATAAAATCTATTATTTATATATATTAACTTTTGCAAATGGTAGTCTCAAATTTTAGAATATTAAAAATAAAATCTATTCTTTATATATATAACTTTTGCAAATGGTAGTCTCAAATTTTAGAATATATATTTATATTGAAACCTTTAAAATATTTTATATTATTATTAGTTATTAAATATATTTATTTTATTTATTTTGGTCATAAATAAAAGAAGTTTGAGATTAAAAGGACTATTTTGTAAGAAAATAGTTCACCTCTATTTATAGAGGAAAAAATAGAGTTCCTCTATATATAGAGATAAAAATAGCAATCTCTATAATAGAGGTGGATATAGAGGTGGGTTGGAGCAAAATTTGCTATAAAATAGAGTTTAGAGGAAGAAATAGAGGTGGGTTGGAGATGCTCTAACACCTTATCGGTTTCCGGTTTCTCGGAACCTTGACTGGAACAATCCAGGTAGTCTTTAACTCTTAATGTACCACCTGATCTCATCCAAACATGTTTTTTTTTTTTATATAAAGTCCCATCCAAACATGTTTACTGATCAGTGGTCACTATTACGGAGATATCACAACATATACACCTTTCTTTGGCTAATTGGTTAACCAGCAGGATTAACAATGGTTATTGTGGCCCATATATCAGAAGAACACAGCGATCACAATCATGGCAAATATATCAACACCTCTTTCTGATGTATCTATTATTCTAACGGCAATGGTTTTATTGGGCTAATTCAGCACCTTTAATATTTAATAAAATACGGCCCAATGGATCAACCACTTTCCCAAAAAAAACAGCATAAATAGAAAAAGATGAGGGAGAGAAAAAGGTTTTTTTGTCCCACTAGCAATGGCGGAGGAGAGAAGAGTCCCATCATCGGTGTCGGTCACAGTCGCCCACGACCTTCTTCTAGCCGGCCACCGCTATTTGGACGTCAGGTAACTAACGCAATCTTTCTCTTTTTGATATTTCAAAGTATCATCATCAACATACATAGCATACTCTTGTAACGACGAGGGATACTACTGTGTATAATAATAATATAATATATAGGACTCCAGAAGAGTTCAGCCAGGGACATGCCTGTGGGGCGATCAACGTTCCTTACATGAAGCGAGGAGCATCAGGTTATTTACTATTAATAATTGTTTTGGGTTTGATTACTGTTATCATTTGGTAATAGCGTGGTCTGTGGTCACTTTACTTGTGAAGCAGGGATGTCAAAGAACCCCGACTTCCTGGAACAAGTCTCCTCCCATTTCAGACAATCCGACGACATCATTGTTGGCTGCCTGAGCGGGGGTAGATCTTTCAAAGCCACCGCCGATCTTCTCGATGCAGTAAGCTCTCCCTCCACAAAGTTGTTGTATTCTTCTGACTTTTTTTTTATTTTTCACTTTGTTCATGATATAACTAACATTGGTTGCAGGGTTTCACGGCGGTCAAAGATATCTCCGGTGGCTATACTGCCTGGGACCAGAATGGTCTTCCTACACAAGACTGACTGATGGCCAGTCACCACCACCATCATCTTTAAACCAATAATGTCCTTATTTTATTTCTTATCTTCTGCTTCCTTTATCTGATACCTTGGAGAGGGGCCTGCCTTATCATCTGTTGTTCCCACGACTCTTATTATATATAAGAAATGGTTGTGTTGATTGCATCGAAACGTCTGTTTTATAAAATACACTTATAATGTATATAAGAAATGACAAAAGAGGAGCATCCAGTCACGTTGTTGTTAGATGCAGCAGAAAGAAGGCAAATGAAATGGGGGGAGCATCTCGGAGTTGTATATTCTTTATATCGAGAAAAATGAATCCCTACCTGCTGAAGACAATATTATATCTCTACAAGATTTACCTTAAAAGTCGATCTGATCTTGGCACATGGATTGATCCATGCTGAGAAACATATATAATACTTTGTATGTAGATCTCATACTGAATGGTCGATGAGTTAGTCAAAAAGAAAATCCGAGTGAGCCAGGCCAATATCAGAGACTGTCACAAAGAGAGTATCTGTTTTGTAGAAGAAACAAGAATGGAAATGGGAATGTCTATAGGGGATGAAGAGGAAGGAGAAGGAAGTGAATCTTCAACTGCAACTCTGTCAAGCATTTAACAACTCTGCTACTCTCAATGCACCAAAGCTGGGCCACCTCATTCATTTAATCCTATACTATATACTATATTCAGTTATTAACTAAACCCGAAACCAAGTGAAAAGAGAGAGTTGGAAGGAAGCCATTAAGTTACACCATCGTTTCATGAGAAATCATTCACGTTTCTTATAACTTACTGCTTTGTCTTCCACAATCAGCAACAACCACATCTGAAAAGAATGCATTTCATTTATTTTTCTTCCATTTACATTTTACACATTCCCTTCTTTCATTTTACCCTCAATTACGTGGTGCGATACTATTAATCTAAGTGCTTCCTCTCAGTACATGCCATACCCTCAATCTAAGCGCATCTTATATTTCTCTTCTCCATACCCTTTTCATCACACTTGCATTCTTATCTACATTCATTTGCTTTCTTTGCTCCTATTCTTTCTCTACTCATAGCTCTCGCTCTCAGGAGTTGCTTCACCCTTATTATATACAGCAGAGCTGCAACAAAAAGAACTTAATATCAATGTCTCTTCATTAGTGCCTCTCAATTGGGAGTTCATATGTCACCAATAATTGCCTACTGACCTCGAGTTCTGCAGCTTCTTCAATTTGTCTCTCCACATCGCTGCAAAAGTAATACCAGAGAGAAGGAAAAAATAATGAGGAGTCTGTAAAGCACACAGAATATAGAAGCCATCCAGAACAGTTTTATACCTGCATCGATGTACCTTTCCTCTTTGGAGGCCAAATCCATATTCCTTACTAGTTTAAGCTCTTCTGATAAAGGATCTGGTCCCTCGGGAGCGCTGAACAAGAACACCCACCATGTGGTTAGCAACTGTGAACAGAGTGAGACAGTGCAACAAACCCAAGATATTTACCAACAAACTAAAAACCTGTCAAGTATAACATTGAAAGTAGGCTTTGCGCTCTGCGATCTGCCTCCATAACCAATTTTGATAGCCTCTTCCAGAACTATTGCTTTATTCACATATATTGGAGCCTGTCATATGACAAACAAAAACATGTTATGGCAGTATTCAAACGTCAGCAAGAACATTAGAAGATTCCAATGTTAAAGAAATAGAGAGCCATAAACGAATTATGAAAGGAACAAACTGATGGAAGTAATGTAACCCCGGGAAGCATACCTGGCATGATCTTGCTACGTTGATGGCATCTGATGGCCGTGAATCAAAGCATATAACATCATTGTCTCCTGGCTGCAGGATAGATGGTCAACTGAAAACGTAATAATATTTGAAAAAGAGTTTCGTAGCTAAGAGGATGTTTGCAGTCTTTCAAGTTACCTTGCCAAGACATAGACTTGCATAGTAAGTGTTTACAACTCTACTTGTAAGCTTCACCATTTTAACCTGTCAATAATATAGTACACCTTGTTGTTAACTAAGTAGGGGCCAGCAAGCTATACATGCTCTAAATGGAGGTTATAATACAGTTAGAAGAAGTAACAGGTACGCTGGTAACGATACTGTACTTCATATCCAAGTTTGTCAACAACAGCAGACACGAACTGGAACTGATCAGGGCATTCCTGCAAGATAGAAAGTAAAGAAAAGAAAAAGATGAGTTGAAATGAAACTGCAAAGATGAAAAGCGAGCGTAAAACACGAGGAGGGGAGACCTCAGTCAGGCCTTGCAGTGGTACTTGTAAGAGTTTCTCAACAGCAGCATCCCCTGCAAGTGCAAGTGAAGAAAAAGTGAGCAACAGGTTGATAAGATAAAAGAGAGGGAGAGAGAGAGGATCGGATGATGAAGAGTGAGAGATTACATACCAACAATAACGGGAAGCAAGTAGTCACCATCACAGGAGATCTTGAGAAAGATGGTGGGGTGTTTGAATTGACGGAGAAAGCCGAGTCCAATAGGGAGAACACCAAGGCTGGATTCACTAGCTCTAACAGCAAAAGGAGGCAAATGCCTAGAAGTGTGCCACATTGAATCTTGGCGGAATCCATCATGTCTCCGCATTTTGTAATGCATACTCGTCTCTGTTATTTTTGTAATGCCATAAGAAAAAACCAAAATGCGTAAATGAAAGAGATCGACAAAAGGGAAATTATTGGGAAGTCCGAAACCCTAGAAAACCGAGACAGGGGATGGGTGGGGAAATCAGTAATCAGATTCAAATATGGAAAATGAGGAAATCAAAAAGAGAGAAGGAGACACATTTGAAATTGAGGGGGAAAAGGGAGGACCTGCAACGAGGACAGAGGCTTGGAGAAACTCGAGATCGGGAGAGGTAGAGCTTCCGTGTGAAGAAGAACCGCAACAAATAGGAGAAAACTTGGGGGAGCGATGAGAGCGAAGCGATCGGAGGTTCAATGGGGTGCAACAGCGAAAGGAGGAAGAAGGAGAGGGTGAAGTGGAAGATGAGACGGAGATGGAGCGAGAGAAGGCCGTGGAGTCGGATAAGAATATTCCCAGATCGGACGCAGGAACAGCAGCGAAGGCAACTCCGGGCATGTTGATTTCTTTGGTGATGGTTTCAGACAGAGAGAGAGAAATAAAAAGTGAAGCAGAGCACAAAAGTAGAAGAAGAAGGATGGAGAGACCGAGAGAGAGAGAGAGAGAGAGAGAGAGAGAGAGAGATGAGACGTCAATGGATAATGGCTCTTTTCTCTCTTTACCGGATTTTATTTTATTTAAACATAACGACGATTACATGTTGGTGATGATGATGATGATGATGTGGAAAGGATAAGGTTATGATGATTATTCTTAAACAATAACTTTTAGCTCTAAATTCTAAACTAAACACGTGGAAAGTTACAATCATACTATCTCTAATAAAGTAGTAAAAAAAAAGTTATGGTTCGGTGATGATCCGCATACGCTGCTGCTGCCCCCCACCCATCTGCCTAATTTATCTGGTAGGCAGACAGATAGACACTAACAAGTAAAAACAACCGTTAAATGATTCCAGTTGTGAAATTTTATGATCTGCAATGTAATGACTGTTAAGCGTGCCTTCAAAGAAAGCCATATGCTGAATATTTCATTTCTCGATAAACTGTACATACGAATATACGATATACAATATACTTGTTTTTTTTGGGTTTTAAGGATTTTGGCTTTTGCTAATACAGATACAGTTGGTGCCAAAAGCATCAAAACCAAACCAAAAAACGAGTAAACAGGAAACACCGACCAGATGTGCAAAAGCAAAGTGGTCCAGTCGTAATTGCGTCGCGTTCTAGAAATATCCCACAGGTTTTGTTGACTTCCTTTTAGATATTATTATTCACCACCTCATCTGAATTTTAAATATCATCAGTTCCTTCTTTCTCTTATACTTTTTACGCGCCGACACTACTAAACTTTTGGATTATAACAAAACAACATTTCAGTTTGCTTAGTGTACATCGTCCAATCTGTTTGCTGACTCTATCTCGAAGCCTCAATAGTCAAGAGTTACATTACATTCAATCCGTTTATCTCAAACCCTACCAAAACCAGCTGTTGAAGTTTTTATTTTATTTTAAACTATTATTAATGAATACATTTGTTCAGTCTTATAGTATTAAGATATTTCTTTACGATGGACCAAGTTGTGTGATAATATAACAAAAACAAAACCAAAAAAACGATGGATAAGATTAAGAAACCCAATCTGTTGACCTACTCGACTCCGAGCCGAGGTTCCAATGCCCTTTCTACCTTTGTCTCAATCTCCATTTTCCAGTCCTCCCTTATAAGTGAGTTTGCTGCAATTAATACGACTCTTTTATAGCTTCATCTGTCGTTGTTACCAATCTTTTTCTGTCTGCTACGAGGAAACTCTTTCAACATCTTCATCACCTCATACGTCCTTGTCTCTCTTCCAAGGTAGAGGCAAAGCCCAAGCGGAGTTAACCCGTCCTGGTATATATCGTAAAATAAAACAAAAATCGGTAAATGCTTTCAGAAACCAGATATCGCGATGAGGGGTAGGTATAGGCGGGAACTAGCCTTGTTCTTCACTTCTACGTCCGCCCCTTTTATCAGAAGAAGCTTTGCAATGTCGCTTCTTCTGGCCTGAACTGCAACATGCAAGGGAGTCCACCCGTCCTGAAAACCAAGTGCCAAATTGTCAACCAGCTGATCACAATGAACTTTGTCTACAATGAATGCCTGACATCATACCCTGTCTTGAGCGTTTATATCAGCGTTATACAGTAGGAGAAGTTTTATTGTGGGAGCCGATGCTGTTTGCACAGCATAGTGCATCAAGGTTGCACCTTCCTATGATAAACCAAAGGGATCAGATCCCGCATCTCAAGCGCAAGGGAGATTATAATTATAATGACTAGGACTTACATCATCAAGAACAAATGGGTTTGCTGATTCCCTCAGCAGGTAGTTAGTAATAGCCTGCTTTTTACCAATTATTGCTCGGTGAAGTGCTGTCAAACCGCCCTAGATGAAAACAACACTAGATAAAGACGCCCGCAAACATAAACAGCAAAAGCTTCAAAATTTAAATCCACATACCACGTCGGTTGCGTTGATATCAAGATTGTGCTTTAGCAAAGAATCAACAAGATAAAACTCTCCGCATGCTGCTAGTGTATGAAGAGGAAGCCATTTTTTCTGAAACACCAGACACACATAATAGTAATTCATAAGGGACGGACTACAATAAGATTCATTTACTTGGAAGGGTGGACTTACGGAGGTGGCAACTGCTAGGTCAGGATTCCGGCTATTAAGCATAAATTTTTCTTCTTGCGAAAGCAGCTTCCGAGGGCCTGCTCGAATCATTAAGCCCTTACTATTCTTTCTCAATTGAAGCAAGAGAAGGAGACAAGCGAGTGCATCTTAAAAATTGATTAGGTAAGGCAAACGGTAAACCTACCGTCGGATTTATTGCCACTGCTGGGATCGTACTTGTCACTATTGAAGAACTTGGTAACGTGGTCGAATCCCTTGCCGTAGACAGCCCATCTAGGGTTCTTAGGAGCCACTCGCTCGCTAGAAGATGTTACAGCATCGCTTGAGGCTCCATCGTCGGAGAGATTTCCCGGTTTATCGAGAGTGACAGGCCTCAGTTGAGCCAACTTGGCTTCCTTATAAGTCAGATACTCATTCAAGTCGACGTTCCTCAGCGGAATCAGCCCTTGTCTCTTCTTCTCCACTCGAACCCCGAACTCCAGTTCCTGCGCAATTTTGCGTTTGTCCTTCTTGGTGAGATTCACTTCCGCCTGGATATCCCTCCATTCCTCCGGCACGAGGTTCTCGGGCTCAATCTCGGATTCTTCTAGTCTCTTGGCCCCGCCTCGCCGATTCTTCTTGCGCTCCTGGTGAGAAACCTGGGTGACCTCCTTGTGAAGGTAAGGGTCTTCGAAGACGCCGTCCTCGTAGACGAGACAGTCACCGACGATGAAATCATCGCCGGCATCGGGGAGGATCGACGTCTGAGAAGAATATGAAAGAGAGCGTAATCGTCCGGGGAAAACCAGGGACTGAGGAGAAGGAGAGAGACGAGAGGGAGAGGGAGAGGGGAGGAGAAGAGAGATGGTGTGTGGTGTGGCGAGCTGCATTATCGGAATCTTTTGAGGATGGCGGAGCTTTCTTTCTCCTGCGGATGTATCGGACAACTTCTATGGGCCTGCTTTATCCACTCTATAATGGGCCTTAAGTTGGGCCAGCCGTCTGGTTCGAATTCAATAGAGTAGTAATAAAGTCCATCATCTCTATCTTTGTTGTCTTCTCTCTTTCACTTTCTGCTGCTCGGACGGATCTCAGCGCTGTTGCAAAGATGATGGCGAGACCGAGGAGTCATCGTCCTTCAGCTCGGAGATCCTCCCATTCAACGCTCATCTTCGTTGTATTGATCATGTCCACTTTCGTCATTTTGTTTCTTCTCGCCTTTGGGATTCTCTCGGTGCCCAGCAACAATGCCGGCTCCTCCAAAGCCAATGATCTCACTTCCATTGTCCGAAAAACACTTGAGAGGTACAGATTCGATCCCGATTGGATATTACTCTGTTTAAATTTATAGTCTGCTTCTATAGTCTAATATATATATATATATTCCCGAAGAAGTGGCGAGGATGATTCGAAGAACGAGCGTTGGGTTGAAATTATCTCTTGGGAACCCAGAGCTTCTATTTACCACAATTTCTTGGTGAGTTCTATCGATTCTTCTTCTGTCCAGTGTAAAATCTGTTTTTATTTTGGGATGCCTATATGTATATATGTCCATCTGTATTTTCGAGATATGATCAATAATAATGTAAACAGATCTTGATACGGAAACAGAACTGGCTGCGATTAGGAAACAAAATGAGAGTATATTTTGAATTTAATGATTAGTGATTGGTTTTAATTTGCTCTTGGATTAGACCAAGGAGGAATGCAAGTATCTAATAGAGCTAGCTAAGCCTCATATGGAGAAATCAACTGTTGTCGATGAGAAGACTGGAAAGAGCACAGATAGCAGGTTTTCTGCTTCTAAAATGCAACCTTGTACCCATTAATCACAAGTTTATTCTCCTTTACTGACCGACCCACCAACCTCAATAGGGTGCGAACGAGCTCAGGGACATTTCTTGCAAGAGGGCGCGACAAAACTATCCGTCAGATTGAGAAGAGGATATCAGATTTTACATTCATACCAGTTGGTATGTTCATATCTCTTGATTCCGTGTTTCTCCCTAGATTTCTTAGGCATCTTATCAGTAGCCTGACTATTTTTTCTTTTTATGCAGAGCATGGGGAAGGTCTTCAAGTTCTGCACTATGAGATTGGGCAAAAGTACGAACCTCATTATGATTACTTCATGGATGAGTATAACACTAGGAATGGGGGACAACGGATTGCCACAGTTCTCATGTATCTGTATGTAACTGAAAAACTTTTGGGATTCCATAAGCTGTAGCAATGTTCTTCCTTTAATGCTTCTAAGAGAATTTGCAGATCAGATGTGGAGGAGGGGGGTGAAACAGTATTTCCTGCAGCCAAGGGAAACTATAGTGCAGTGCCATGGTGGAATGAGTTGTCAGAGTGCGGGAAAGGAGGATTATCCGTGAAACCGAAGATGGGAGATGCATTGCTTTTCTGGAGCATGACGCCTGATGCAACGCTAGACCCATCTAGTCTTCATGGTAAGTAGATGAGATGAGTTAGGAGGCATGTAAGACATAGTGTTTGTGTATGGTTCATTTTGAGATTTGAGACATTAATAAGGTCCGTGATGGGCAGGTGGGTGTGCTGTAATCAAAGGGAACAAGTGGTCGTCTACAAAGTGGTTGCGTGTACACGAGTACAGGGTCTGAGGCATGATCGAGGTAAGTTTAAGTTTCAGCTTCTTCAAGTGTGAATAAGTGGTATCTGTGCGTGAGAGACAAAGGGAAGGTGTCACACACTACCTGCCTTGAAACGTAAAATTTGTGTAAATGGGGTGGAAAAGTAGAATAGAAGAGAGTAGCTATTGATTAATTAAAGTGGGGATGGTCTCTGATTTTACAGCAGGGGAGGGGAGTCCTAAAAGGTGAGGAAGGGACCTGAGAGTGGGTCACCAAGTTTTGAGGGCGAAGCGGTGGCAAATGAGGAGGAGGAGGAGGAGGAGGAATAGAGAAGCAAGCTTGAGATAAGAGGGGGAGGGGGGGGGGGGGGGATAATGATAGGTTTGATAGTAGTACCTAGATGATACTGTAAAATGAATGGGAGATGGGATAGAGAAAAAAGCGAATGTTGTGTTGATGGATGAGGTCGGGTGGTGGTGTTTCTGTTTCAGATGATAGTATAGTACAGTAATGTAATGTGTTACCTTACGAACTTGTTATGTTTTTTTGGTTGTGTGTGTGTGTGTGTGTGGGGTGGGGTACAATAAAAGAGAAGTAAAAGGGATTAATTTGGAAACGAAAGCAACAAAAGTCAGAATCAGAAGTCTGACCTTACCGACTCATCGATCGTTTGAAAATCAAATGATGATCTCTTCGTCTCTAGTCTCGTAAGATATTTTTACGTGACTTTTATAATTTATGATTAGATGACAACAAAGTCAGAGACAGACGCGTTGATTATTACTATTATTTATGAAATAAAGGAAAATTTTGGTCAGCCGAGAGAGAGAGAAAGAAGGTTCCTCCTTTCTTTTGATATCTCTCATCCCTCTCTAATCTATCTTTACGCTTTTTATAAGAAACTCTTTTTCTTTTCTTTTAATTTTTTTTTTTTTGGTAAGACAAAGAAAAAACAACAAAACAATTCATTCCCTCTTTTTCTTCCTCTTCTTCGTCTTTTTTCTTTTAATTTTCCCAGAAAGAAAGAAAGAAGAGAGATATGTCAGATTCATATTCTTTGTCTCCTCTGTCCCTCCTTCATCGGATTAAAGATTCCTTCCATTCCGCCATCTCTGCCCTCCTCGCCAGCCTCTTCTCCGCTCTTTTCACCTTCTTCTTCGCTTTAGGTTCGTTCCCTCTCTCGCTCTCTCTTTTCTTCACATTCTTCATCTCAATCTCTGTTGTGATCCGCAAGTCATGAATTTGTGGAATTGTATGGGTCTCGTTCCTTCTTTTCCTGTTATGATTGTTAGAGATTAATTTGAGTTTTTTATATATAGGGATGATTTTTTTTTTTTTAATTGATTTTGGCTGGCGTGCTTTGCTGATTAATATGGGTCTCTCTCTCTCTCAGTGGGGACTCTGCTAGGAGCATTGACTGGTGCTTTGATCGGCCAAGAAACTGAGAGCGGATTCATCAGAGGCGCCGCCGTTGGTGCTATCTCTGGCGCTGTCTTCTCCATCGAAGTCTTTGAATCTTCCCTCCTCCTCTGGCAATCCGATGAGTCTGGGATTGGATGCCTTCTCTACTTGGTAACACCATCATCATCATCATCATCATCCACTTTTATATAGATTCTTTTTTTTAATGCTCAGTGCTTCCCCTCCGTTTGTCTTAGATTGATGTCCTTGCTAGCCTTCTCAGCGGGAGGCTTGTTCGTGAGCGTATCGGTCCTGCCATGCTAAGTGCCGTCCAGAGTCAGGTAACACACCCCCCCCCCCCCCCCCCCCCAATCTAACCCATTATTTGTTGCTGGTTGATTTCTTTCTCATGTACGACCATCCATTTCAAACAGATGGGAGCTGCGGAGTCTCACTTCCAAGAGCATACAGACATCTTTGACACGGCCATTTCAAAGGGTCTCACTAGGGACTCTCTCGCCAGGATTCCAAAGGTCCGAATCACTGACACCCCTGGGGACACGCTCTCTTGCTCTGTCTGCCTTCAGGTGAACATTTATTACAACGTAGCTTGCTTCTACATGTTTAGATTAGGTTACTAGGTGTGGTTGAAAGATGATTGATTTATTAAAATTGAGGTGTGGTGGTGACTAAACAGGACTTTCAGGTGGGAGAGACCGTTAGAAGTTTGCCGCAGTGCCATCATATGTTCCACCTACCATGCATCGACAAATGGCTTCGCAGGCATGCTTCTTGTCCCTTGTGCAGAAGACATCTTTGAATTTGAATTTAAGAAACCTCTCTTTTCTTCTCTTCTTTTGTACATGAGTTATAGGCCCGTACACATACATACACACACACACACACACACTAGTGTAGTGTTCATTTGATTGTTTAGATTACTCCTACAGATTTTGATGCACCAATCATTGTAACTTTTTACTCGTCTCTTGGATGGAGATCATGCCTATTTATCTTATTCATTCTTTGATTTGGGTTCATCATTCATAAGAAAGCGTGGGACTGGGTTTGCCTAAGCTAATCCTAAATGAAGAAGCATCCTTTATCGTCAGAGACTCGAGAGCAATGCTCTCTACATTTACCAGCTAAGAAGCGAGATAATACAAAATACTTGACTTGAGTACAAAAATAATTAGGATGAGATCCAACATGTCAGTTGCTTCTTCTTTTTTCTTTTTCTTTTTTTTTTTCCGAAAATTACACATTTCTTAAACGGGAAGAGTGAACCCGAGAGATATAAAACAGAGGAAAAGGGACAAAGAAAAAAAAACATATATTTGGTTGGATAAATATAACTAGAAGATGGATGGAACTTGGTTTAAAAGTTTTTTCTTAGCCGCCTCGAGCAGCGCCGCTTTCACAAGTCTCCTCGCTACCCCCTGAATCAATATTCTCACTTTGTTAATCCATAGGAAATCTATATGTAATATGGATGTGTCTCATACGTTTCTCGGGTGGTTCTGAACTATTTCAACAGCTTCTTGGCTGCTGAGCTGCTCCCGTAGTCCCGTCCGATGCAAATATCAGAAATTGATCGTCTGGCTGGAGATCATGCATGGTTATCGACGGTTCCCAACTCAAGATTGGTCTTTTCATTGGCTCCCGCAATCGGTACTTTGTGTACAAGGGTTCCCTGTTGAACGCGGCTTTCTTAAGATACACGTCTCCTATGGATCGTGGATACCTGCAAACAAAGGAACAAAAGGCCTTCAACTTAATCGTATCATTCAATTCTAGGCCTCCCTTTCAAGACCATCACCCTCGGTTGGGCTTCGATTATATGGGCCCTTTCTATTTAAGTGGCCCGTTAATGATTTCGACATACGTTTGCTTCGGCTTCGTAAATAGGAAAGATTAAAAAGAAAAAACAGATTTTATATTTATTAATAAAAAGAGTTTTTCTCTTCTGGAATCGTCTGTCAGACTGCAACTCCCTCAATCAATCTCAATGGCATCTGCTCACTCACTCTCATCCGTTTCTGTTCTCGTTGCAGCCTCCAAACTCCCGTCTTCTTCCTCTTCTCCCCATTCTATCTCTTTTCTTCGATCGAAACCTCGAGAGCTCTCCCTCCGCCTCAAAGGTATCTTTTTTCTTTCTTTCTTTCTTTTTCTTCGCTTTGGACTTTTACTTGTTTTCTTTATAGATTTTGAGGGAGACTACTCCACTTTCCCCGCCCTCAGTTTCGCCAAAGTTTAGTGTCCAATTTTTGAATATCCACTATGAAAGTTTAGTGTCCAATCCACCATGAACAGTTAAGAAATAGCCTAGAAATCTGTAAAGAATAGTTTCTTGACTAGTTATGTTGGCGAGAGAGATTAGGTGTGGCAAAAGCGCAGTCAAAAGAAGGAGAAGTAAGTCCAGTGGGAGTGGGAGTGGGAGATGATGCATTCAGTAATGTGAAGCATCTTCTTCTGCCAGTGATTGATCGGAATCCTTATCTTTCGGAAGGCACCCGACAGGTTAGCTGCTAGCTTTACCTTTGTTAAGGATTTGCTGCACATCTAAAACCTAATATAATCACTACTGCTTGGATTTTGATAAAAGGCTGCTGCTACAACAACTAGTTTGGCAAAGAAGTATGGAGCTGATATCACAGTTGTAGGTAAGTTTAGTAACTAAGTGTTGCAGGGAATCCCATAAATCATAATCCATTTGATTGTCTGAAATCATCATCACATCACACTTTGATCACCAGTGATTGACGAAGAAAAGAGAGAATCATCTGCAGAGCATGAGACTCAAGTGTCCAACATCAGGTGGCATCTATCGGAAGGTAAAATTAGATATATTAATTAAAATTTTGATAACGAGGGAATTATTGGTAGTAAGATAGTGTTGTGTGGTTGCAAGGTGGGTTTGAGGAGTTCAAGCTGTTGGAGAGGCTAGGGGAAGGGAAAAAGGCGACGGCCATAATAGGAGAGGTGGCAGATGAGCTGAAGATGGAGCTGGTGGTGATGAGTATGGAAGCCATCCACTCGAAGTACATCGACGCCAATCTTCTTGCTGAATTCATCCCCTGCTCCGTCCTGCTCTTGCCATTGTGATTGCTCTCCTAGGCCTAATGTCCAATACCACTTCTTTTTTTTTTCTTTTGGTTTGTATTGACAAGAGAGAGAGAGGATCGAAATGTGTCGAGGTGTGAGATACATGTGTTAAGCATTTTCTGACTTTATATGTGTCCCCCTTTGCTGGTTGGTGTTTCTCTGTAACTCACATTTTGTCATTGATAGTAAACGTGTTGGGCATTCAATTTTAAGAAGAAAAGTCTGTTTGAACCGTATTCCGGTAGAATCGAATTATACTACGTAGAGTGTATGTAATGTAATGTAAGGGCATGTTTATTGGCGTATGTTGGCAAAGTCCCAACCAAAAAACTCATTTAATTTAAATGGAAATGAAAGAAATAACGAAGAAACGTTCGTATAAACGGGACGAATTAAGCAGGTCCTTCGTCCCGCGTGTCACGTTCTCATTGGTCGGCGTTTGAGTGTAGGTAAAAAAATTTCGGGGTTGAAGTGTTTTAATTTCTTTTCTTCTTCTCTCTCGGTCGACTTTCTCTCGACTTTTGTCGAGTGCGACGGCAGACGATTTCACAAGCGAGAGCTTTTGGACCTCTGAATTCTGGCGAGAGAAACGGTGAATCGTCAGGTTCGTTCTCTTCTCGTCTTCTGCTTCTTCTGGCAAAGGCAAACCCAAGTCTCTCCGGAAATCAAACCCTAATCGGTAAGATTTCTAAATCCGAGGAGAAAATTTGGGGGTTTTAGTTTATTATGCTTGGATCTTCGATCTATAGGTGATTTATATGTTGTTAGGTATTCGTTATTGATTGAATCGTTGTGGTATAGAAATCGATTAGGGTATATATATGTAATGATTTATGGATCTAGGTTTTCAGAAAATGGTTAGATTTGGTTTGAATATGCATGGTTCTTGTTTGTATAGTTGATTTCTAATGAGTAAATTTTTGTCTCTATTCGTTATTGATTGATGTTGGGTATTGAAATCGTTTGGATATAGGGTTTTTAAGATAATGGTTTGGCTCCAAGTTCCGATTTACACCTTTATAACTGTGCTTAGTGATTATTTGGGTCTGAAGATGGTGATGGAATTCGATTGGTTTCTAGTGTTTATTTGGGTTGGAAGCAAACGGTTTCTACTGTTTATTTGATTGGTTTATAGTGTTTATTTGGATTGGAACCAAAGTGTTTCTAGTGTTTATTTGGGTTGGATCCAAACTGATATGAGTGTTTATTATTTGATTGGTTTCTAGTGTTTATTTGGGTTGGATCCAAACTGATATGAGTGTTTATTAGTTGATTGGTTTGTAGTGTTTAATTGATTCGTTTGTAGTGTTTATTTGGGTTGGAACCAAACTGTTTCTAGTGTTTATTCCGGTTGGAACCAAAGTATTTATGATGTTTATTTGGGTTTGATGGGATTTGATTGGTTAAAGGCTGAATTGTATTCTGTATTGATGCAGTTGAGGTGAACGAAGTGGAGTGATAAGCACCAATTTGATCCACATTTAAAGGTAAATGTCATTCCCTTTTACCTTCAGCATTTCTAATATGTTTTAGCTCTTTGAAACTGATATGAATGAACTTTCCATTACATGAAACTGATATGAATGATCTAGTAAGTTGCTACAGATGTGCTTGCTTGTGGTTTGCAAATGTGATACTGTTTTAGTTAGGGTTGTTATTTGCTTTAGTAATGTTGTTTGCGTGTAATAAGTAGTCATGGTCATAGACTGATAGAAATTGTGACAGTTAGGCAAGGCAAGTTGTTTGCGTGTAATAAGGAGTCTTGGTCATAGATTGATAGCTTTGTTGTTTGCTGTTTGCTATTAACTTTATCATTAAAGAAAGTGATATAAATAGAAAGAATTGCTATTGTTGTAAAAGGTGATGTAGTAGCTAGTTTCATAATGGCTTGCATGTACTTGGCTTCTTGTTTTGGTGTATTGATGATTTTTTTAAGTACTAGCTCTGAGAGTAGGTAGTACAAATTATAAATCTGAATAATAAAGTAGAGTTAAATGTAAAAATTGGTGATTAGACATATGCAGTTAGCTAGTAATTAGTTATTACCATCTTCTCTCTTCTCCACCATCTTCTCTCTTCTCCACCAACGTTTCTCACCTATTAAACTTGATAGCAAGCTTCTTTGTTCTCCACCATATTCGATTTTCCTCTTTCTTCAAACCACTAACCAGCCAAACATCTTCCTTCTCAATCCCTTTCATATGGATTCTTACAATCCATATCCCCACTCCTCAAGTTATCTAGACCTTCTGAATAGTCAACAAGAAACTCATACCCAAGGAAACTCTTCTAATGAGAGTTTCCCTCCTTCTGCCTACAACCTTGCTTCTGAGTTACCTACTTGGAGTTCACAGCAATCAGCTGCCACACCTACATCTGAAGAAACTCAAGTGGATCGCAGAGAGAGAAAGAAGTGGAACAATACTGATGATGAAGTACTTATCTCTGCTTGGCTCAATACTTCAAAGGACCCAGTAGTTGGAAATCAACAGAAGGGTGGATGTTTTTGGCAGAGGGTGGGAGAGTATTATGCTAGCTCTCCCACTTCCACAGAGAATGGTCAGAAGGGCTTGAGTGTTAACTGCAAGCAAAGGTGGCACAAAATCAATGATTTTGTCAACAAGTTTGCTGGTGCTTATGCAACTGCAGAAAGGCTCAATAGTAGTGGCCATTCTGACAATGATGTTCTGAAGGTTGCACACGATATCTATTTCTCTGACCACAAGAGGAGGTTCACTTTGGAGCATTGCTGGTGCCTGTTGAGGTATGAACAGAAGTGGCTCAGTCTGAACACTATCAACAGTGGTACACCCAAAGGAGGATCAAAGAGGAAACCTCATGAAGATGGTTCACAGTCAGCAACTAGCTTGGGTGAAGACTGTGAGATCAGACCAGAAGGGGTCAAGGCTGCTAAGGCAAAGAAGACTAATGGTGGAGGCAAGGCAGGGAAGGCAGTAGCTGACTATCAAAGTATGTGGGAAATCAAAAAGGTGGAGATGGCTGAAACTGAGAAGCTTCAGAAGCTGGCTATCCTTGACACAATACTGGCTAAGAAGGAACCACTTTCTGAGAGTGATGAACTTATCAAGAAGAAGATTGTTTCTTAGTATTTCTGAGAATTCTGAGAGTGTTGAACCTTTACTAATTTAGTTTGCTTGTGTCTTTGTCTTCTATTTATGTGTACTCGGCTTTAAGTGTTATGTCTTCTATTTATGTGTACTCGGCTTTAAGTGTTATGTCTTCTGTTTTAGTATGAATGTCTTCTATGCTTTTGGTATGGATGTGTATTATGCTTTTGGTATGAATGGAATTCTGTTTTGGTATCAATCAGTACTATGCTATTGGTATGAATGTGTTTCTTTTATGGTATGAATGAGTACTATGCTATTGGTATGAATGTGTTTCTGTTATGGTATGAATGAGTACTATGCTAGTGGTATAATGTGTTCTAATCACGGGTTTTATTGGTGTTTTTGAGGTTGTAATATCAGATGGGGCAGGACTACAGTTATTCACAACCTTCCTCCTCAGACCAATACCACCATCATGATTACAGTGAAGACAAAGAGGAAGAGGCATTGATTCTAATGGATGAAGGTGACAGTCATTTGATCAATGCCAGAGCTATTTTGATGGATGAGGTTGAAAGTCAGTTGGAACAAACTCAGGCGACTCATTTCCCTCCTCAACCTGAGGTGGAGTTTGGTTTCCCAAAGCAGTGCTACTGTGGTGGGAGGCCTACTCTAAATACATGCTACAACCCGAATAATATAGGCAGAAGGTTAGTGTACTAAACTTGTCATTGTATGCTTATGTTATATACCTATACTAACTGAGTCTTAAATGTTTTATGTGGTTGTGTAGGTTCTTCACATGTCCAAATGTGGAAGATGGGGATATGCATCTCCACAAGTGGTGGGAGGATGCTGCAATGGAAGAGATGAGAGAGTTGGACAGAATGTATGAGGTCTTATCCGAGAAGGTTGATGCCTTAAACTGCGTGAGTGACTTTGAAACTGATCAGAAGCTCCATCACTTAGAATTGCTAGTCTCTGATCTAGGTAAGAAAAACCTTAGGTTTAGAAGTGGAGTTCAGATGGTTTTAGGTGTAATGGCTGTTGCAGCATTTGTTTTAGCAATGTTGGTAGTGTATAAGTAAGAAAGTATTGGTGTGTAGTGGTAATCACATTGGGTTATGTAGTGGTAATCACGGTAATGACATTATTGTAAGGTTCACGGATATGATATAATTGTAATGTTCTTTGTCTTCACGGTAATGACATTATTGTAAGGTTCACGAATATTGTAAGGTTCACGGATATGACATTATTGAGTTATATTCACGGACAAGTTTGCTTTTTGTATATTTTGTCTCTATGCATAACGTTTATAATAATTATCATGTCTTTCGGTTCACGGGACACAAACATGGATGAACACAAACAAGATTCACTTCTCTATAAATGAACACAAACAAAACCTTTTCTTCTCACTTCTATCTCATAAGCACAAACCTTCTTATTTCACACTTCTTTTTTTCACACTTCATATCTCGACACAAACCTTCGTCTTTCTTTCTTCTTCCACCAACCTTATTACATGTAGTATTAATATGGCATCATTTTCAAATCATTTCCACTACCAAAGAGATGAGGATGATGCATTTGATGCATATTATCAAAATTTCCAAGAAAATTTAAATATCTTAGAAGAACCCACCTTACGAAAGAAACGAGTTTTTATCGAAAGAAAGCGTGAAGAAGGCCACAATAATCTTTGGAATGATTATTTTAGTGACACTCCAACATACCCGCACAATTTATTCCGTCGACGTTTTCGTATGAACAAGCCATTGTTCATGCGTATTGTGCACCGTCTATCTACCGAAATCCAATATTTTCAACAAACCCAAGATGCGGCCGGACACGCTAGTCTTTCACCAATACAAAAATGCACTGCAGCAATTCGTCAATTGGCATATGGTGGTGCAAATGATACGGTGGACGAGTATGTACGGATTGGAGCTACAACAGCTCGAAAATGTTTGCATGAGTTTACCGCTTCAATAATCCAATTGTTTGGCGATGAATACTTACGACGTCCCACACAGGAAGACCTACAACGACTACTCCATCAAAATGAACAACGTGGATTCCCCGGGATGGTAGGGAGCATAGACTGCATGCATTGGGGGTGGAAGAATTGTCCCACTGCTTGGAAAGGCATGTATTCAAGATCAACCGGAATACCTACGATCGTATTGGAGGCGGTAGCTTCGTATGACCTTTGGATTTGGCATGCATTCTTTGGAGCTCCAGGTACTATGAACGATCTTAATATTCTAGATCGATCTAATGTTTTTGATGACATTATAAACGGTCAAGCTCCGGAAGTTAATTTCTTTGTCAACGGAAGGGAGTACAATTTGGCATACTATCTCACTGATGGTATTTATCCAAAATGGGCGACTTTTATTCAATCTATCCGACTTCCACAAGGTAAGAAAAATTCTCTCTTTTCTAAAAAACAAGAAGCAGTGCGGAAAGATGTTGAGCGTGCCTTTGGAGTCTTGCAAGCTAGATTTGCCGTGGTTAAAAATCCTTCTCCTCTATGGGATAAAAACAAAATGGCAAATGTGATAAAAGCTTGCATAATACTCCATAATATGATTGTGGAAGATGAACGCCATACGTACAATCTCCGTAACGTTTCTGAATTTCAACACGGAGAAGATGTCGATCAAACATATACCGTTGGCACCGCCGGAGTGGGTTCAAATATCGGGACAACGATTACAAGACGAACAAGAGTTCGTGATAAACAAGCCCATCAACAATTAAAAGCTGATTTAATTGATCATATTTGGACTAATTTTGGACATCTTCAAGATAATGAAGATTAATTTCTAAAATTCTAAGAATGTGGATCAATAAAATGTTGGTAAAATATATGCTTATGTAAAATGTTTTTAATGTCTTTATTGTATGTTTACAAGCTTAATCCTTGTTTGTAACTTTTAAATTTTAATATGTTTAATATTAATCCAATATTTATTATATCATTTTGTAATTAATCTATTTAATATGTTTTTCCTTTTGTAATTCAAATTAAAAAATTATTTAAAAAACATAATATATTATTTTTATAATAGTGGGACAAAATATGAAGATACACCAATGCTCAACCTTCAAATTATATCAATTGTCCTACATGAAAAAAAATATAAAAAAATTAGAGGGACCAACAATTGGGACAAACCAATGTGCATGGTCTAATGACCATCCACTCGATATCCGTAATTTAATTTATACAGTAGAGAGGGTTTAATTAACCGGCCAGGCCAAGGGAGGGGCATGGAGCAGTGTGGGATGGTCCAATCAGGTGAAATCACACGGATCGATAGGGAGGACGAGGAGGGGTACTTAAGTAATTTGCAAAGTGGAGCGTAGAAGGAGCTGCGTTGGTGTTTCCTTCCTTTGTTTCTTTTGTAAAGGGCAAAGGGGAAAAATCACATTTTCCGCAACGGAGCCACCGGCGTGGCGTTGTTGTTAGCTCTCTCTCTCTCTCTCTCTCTCTCCAGCTTCTCCGATCCTCTCTCTACACCCCTGTGTTACAGGATGGCGACTAGTGCCGCTAATTCTGCATCTCCCTTCTCCATTGATTCCTCTTTGTCTCGATCACGTCACGGCGATCCCTCTCCCTGGATGTTGCCTTGTCATGATGATCCTGCTCCTTCCCTCTCCCATGACGCTCCCTTCGCTCCCCCTTCTGCCGGAATTTACTCTTCTGACGACTTGGACAAGAAGCCTGTCTGGAACAAGCCTTCTAATACTCGCTCCGAAGTCGGACCTCTCATGGGCGCCTCCGAATCCTGGCCTGCCCTCTCTCTTTCTGCTAGGCCTTCTTCCAACAAGTCTCCCCCTTTGGATTCTTCCAAACCTTTATCCGATGGATCATCCTCATCATCATCATCATCAATGCCGCCTCCCCAGGTAGCCCTGTCGTTACCATTACCATTGGATAACTCTTTATATGATCACAGAGTTTTAGGGGATTGACCTGTATCCTAGGGGTTTGTCACACTCTCATTCTTTTGCATGTTACGCCTCCTCCTTTGGATAATGTTGTCATCTCGTCAATGCTTGTTTGGTTGCCTATATAGATATATCAGCTTTTCTTTTGCTATTTATCCAAATCTACTGCAGGCTCGGCCAAGTGCTTTCACTTCTACTTCAAATGGCAATTCCAACTCCAGCACCAATGTCGCTGCTACTTCTTCTGAAAACCATACTGTTAATACCCAGAGGAAACCTTTTAGACGGAATACCAATGCATCTTCTTCCACTAGTAACAACATCTCCAACCCACCCAGTGCTCCCCTTTTTAACACCAGGGATCAGAATCACAGCCACAGGGGTGGCTCTTACGGTTCTGGAAATCTCCGTAATTCTCAGAGGAATCGCAACAACCCTCGCGGGGAAGGCTTTCACCATGGAAACAGGCGCAGTTATGAGCATGGGAACCAAAGCGGGTTTTCTCACCGTAACCTTAGCGGAAGAGACATGCACTTGCAACCGCAGAGGGGTATTGGGATGATGAGACCGCAGATGCTGATGGGGCCACCATCTTTTCCTGCCACTAGTGCCCAATATATGGCAGCGCCTCAAATAGGTTCATATGGTGGCCCCATGCTCTACCCAGGTATTGTTTTGGTCATTTTTTTGCTCTCTCATACTTTCCAGTTTCTAATTCCGCAATGTTTCATCTTCAGATTATGCGCAGCATGTCTTTGTGCCACATCCACCTCCTGAGCCGATGGGTTTAGTTGGACCCTTCCCACCTCTACCCATGTATTTTCCTAGTTTTGATGCCATGTTGTACAATAAGATATTGACACAAGTAGAATATTATTTCAGGTAATCGTTTCTGTGCAATACTTATTAAGTTATTTGGCTGTGTTCCCACCTTCCTACGTGTTTATGGGTTACCCCAATGTTCCAATAGATGCCTATCACAAGTGTGAATAACAAACTTTATCCTTTGGTAATATTTAAATGCAGTGCTGATAACCTGAGCAGAGATGAACACTTGCGGGATCAAATGAATAATGAAGGTTGGGTTAATGTTAGAGTAATAGCAGGGTTCAGGAGAGTAAGTGGTTTTCCTTCCTAACTGAAACGCTTTTTTTAACACTAAGTCATCATCTATTCTGAAACTGACATATTTAAATCACATTAGAATGGCTACTGCAGAAAATATGTGTTCATTGTATAAAGGTTTTGCTATAAAAGAAAGTTGTTTGTTTGTGTGAGCTAGCTACTCCAAATTTTGGATATAGTCTTAGTTGAATGAGTGTACTGGGCGTTAATAAAGAGTAATGCTTCGAAATATTGTAAATTTTGCAGCTTGCGGAGCTGACCAACAACATCCAAACTATATTGGAGGCGCTGGGAGGTTCGGAAGTCGTGGAAATTAAGGTATGCAAGATTCACCTCGTCTTTCATTCATTGATGCATATAAAATGACAAGTGAGGTGGGAAGGGGCAAAGACAAGATGCATAGAAAGGCTAAAGGTAGAATGTTTGTTGGATTGTAGGGTGAAACGTTAAGGAGGCGAGGAGATTGGGACAAGTATTTATTGCCTCGTGAGCCTTCAAAGTCCGGTACAGCAGCAGCGGCGGCGAGCAACAATGCCTCACTGGTGTCTCAACTTGAGAGCATGACACTGTCAGAAGGGAGCAGAGAGAGGGAGTAAAGAGGTGCGACTAAGAATAGAGAGAGGAAGAAAGATGTGTTTACTTTCCCTTCGCAAGCCTCAAACCTTTCTCTCTCTCTTTCTCCCTCTTTCCTTTTTCTTTTTTTTTTGGAGAATCAGATAGGGGACTAAAGAAAACAATAATTTTCTCTTTAAATTTGGATAGGAAATAAACAGTTGAGACATCAAATTTTAAATTACATGAGGTTGGCTGCTAATTGATATAGAACAAAAAAATTAACATCTCGAATAAGAGCCACCACTCGGTAGGGAAGGTATCACGTCAAACCATATTCGAAATACTAGAAAGCTCTACATGAAAACAGCTGGCTAGCTCAGCAGTGACATACTACTCCCTCACTCGTCCACGTGCGCAGTCTCACTTTTATTTATGTATGCTTTGATCGAAGTTACCAACAGAAAACAAAAAAAACAAGAAAAAGTCTATCGTAATCGGCGTTGATGGGCTGCAAAGACCTCTGTTACCGGAAACATCACAAAAAGCTCAAGCAGTTCCAGGCAATCTCCTCTGTCTCTGATATATTTCATGTTTTTTTTTTTTTTTTTTTTTTTTTGTTAAATTACCATATAAACTTAACAAGAGTGTTTCCGTATGATATATTAAAAAAACAAAAACAAAAAAAAAAAGAGGGTGGAGATAAAAGTGAAGATGGACTGCGAAGGGTGTGAGAGACGGGTGAGGAAGTCGGTGGAAGGCATGAAAGGAGTCAGCAAAGTCACCGTCGATCCTAAACAGAGCAAACTCACGGTCGAGGGATTCGTCCAACCCAGCAAGGTGGTGCATCGTGTGATGCATCGGACGGGGAAGAAGGCAGAGCTGTGGCCTTACGTGCCTTACGAGGTGGTGCCACACCCTTATGCTCCTGGTGCCTACGACAAGAAGGCCCCTCCTGGCTACGTTCGTAATGCGCTCGCCGACCCTCTAGTCGCTCCGCTTGCTCGTGCCAGCTCCTTCGAGGTCAAATACACTTCTGCTTTCAGCGATGACAATCCCAACGCTTGCACCATCATGTGATCAACTCTGTCAATTTGTTTTCTATATATATATATATATAGTTAACGACACATGTGCGTGTGTGCTAAGTGTGTTTGTAACTTTGTATATACACACTTTTAAGTAACACTGAAAGACAGTTTGAATGATATGTGTCACCTAAATTCGACTGACATTAAAAGGGAGAAACAAAAGAAGAAAGAGGAGAGGAGATGGAGCAGTAGTAGGAGAAAGAAGAGAGAAAGGTGAGAAGCCATAAACAGACTGATTAGGCATGCCATGACCCAAACAGGGTATATCAGAAGCAGTGTGTAACAGACGACGACAAGGCCGTTGCAGACGACACTCAGCCCTCTCTCGATAGCTTCTCCTGCCATCGTTCTACGTACTCCTGCTCTGGATTTATGCCTCCATTTAAATAATAAACAAATTTTCTTAAGTCTGCAACAAACTTGACGAGAGAGAGAGACATGCAAAAGAAGTTGTTTCCTCTCTAAACGGGACAATGCATCCCGCATTTTTGCACTTCGTCTGCTTCTTCTTTATTCATCTCTTACTTATCGAGTGTAATTTGTCCTTAACGCTCAAGGAGCAAGTTCCAGAGGCAAATATCCATATTGAAACGCATAAAGCTGTCTTAAAACAGGGTAATAATTTTTATTAAGCTCATTATTATCACATTATCACATTCCACAAAGCTAGTTACAAGGTTGGTATACATGATTACATATACGTATTTGAACAAAACAACACCAAAAATTATCTTAAATAACAATTGCTCAGGATTTGGAGAATGCACGGAGCGTGGCATCCAATGCCTCCCGATCGTAATCTCCCGTGAAAACGCAATTTCCCAGTGGGCCTTTGAGAAGAATGAGCCTCAGCAGTCCGTCTGCCACTTTCTTGTCCACCTGCATTACACAAACTTATTTCAATTGTCTTTAGCTCAAAAGATGCCAACGTTTTCACCACAAACTCACCGCCATTATGGACTTGAACATGCTGACAGTCATGCTCTCTGGCGGTGTTGTAGGCAATTTCGCTCGTTCTAGGATCTTGTTCACTCTCTCAACAATCGATTCATCGATCCAACCAAGACGATATGACATGTCCACTGCCATTACCTGAGTATATATAAAGTGTGAACAAATCTCAAAAATTTGGGGAGAAGAGGGTGGTTAGTAGTATGGCAGAGAGAAGGAAATACCGTGCCAGCTGCAACAGCTTCTCCATGTAACCACTCTCCATAACCAAAACCAGTTTCTATGGCCTGCAAAAAGAAAATAATAGGTGATGAGTGGATCTTGGCCAGAAAAGAAGAACTGTCAAAAGAACCATCATTAAGTACTAACATGGCCAAATGTATGACCCAAATTTAGGGTTGCTCGCACGCCGCTTTCTTTCTCATCTTGTGACACAACGTCTGCCTTGTTTTCACATGATCGTTTTATAGCAAAAGCTAATGCCGCTGGATCCCTGCAATGAAGTTATCACACAACTTTTACAGGGAAAGACTCTGTGATCTCAATGTTTTGGATTTGGGCACACTTGTAATGCTAATAATTACCTTGCCAGCAAGGCCTCAATGTTATTCTCCTGCCATTCAAAGAACTCGGCATCCCTGATAAGCCCGTATTTGATCACTTCAGCTAGGCCTGATGCCATCTCCCTATCTGGCAATGTGTTTAATGTGTCTGTGTCTACTAGCACACACTGTGGTTGGTAGAATGCACCGATCAAATTCTTTCCAAGACAATGATTTATGCCTGTTTTGCCACCTACAGAGGAATCTACCTGCATGGCAATGAAAAGAATGGTAACGACAAATAAACACATTTTATCTGGATGTTAATTATTTTAGACAAGAAATTCCTAGCAAGAAGTGAAAACATGTACGTACCTGTGCCATAACAGTGGTAGGAATCTGGATGAAATTAACACCACGCAGGTAAGAGGCAGCAGCATATCCACACATATCGCCTATCACACCACCTCCAAGCGCAACAAAGGTACATCGTCTATCTAGGCGAGACTCAATAGCCTTGTCGAAAACTTTCATGAGAGTATCCTAGAAAGAATAAATAGTTACTGTCTCAGTAACTCAAGAATACTATTGATTAACTATCAGAAACCCGGGAAATATAAATCCAAGAAAACAAAAAATACCATGTTCTTGTATTTCTCCCCATCAGGCAAAATTACACTCTCCACCGTCACATCCGGATTTCCTCTGGTTAAAGCATCAATAGTCTTGTCAAGGTATAGAGGAGCAACTCGCTCATTGGTGACCACAAGCACTCTCTTTCCGTGAACATGCCTGTACATATAAAACAACTAAGTTCCCTAAGAAAATCACAAACTAAACCATAGGCCCAAAGCTGAATCAACAAGTTACTAAATTAACACTAACACCTAAAGAGATGTAACATTCGAGCCGTTTGATGCTGGTGATTGGTGAAATATTAGAAGCTAAATAAAAGGGTCTATGGGACAAAAGACGAGACCTTTGAAGAAGTTCTGATTGATCGAGCAAGCCGGCGCCGATATAGATGGGATAACTCCGGTCCCCCAAATCGACCTCGACGACTGTGGGGGAAGTGAGGGAGCGTTGATCGTGAAGCGGTTCATTCATAAGCTGGCTAGCACTGGCGCGCACAGGAGACCGGGATGTGGTGGAAGAGAAAGATAGTAACCCAGGGTTAGACTTTGGGAAGCAAATGGTTGGTGGAGCAACGAAGCGACGGCTATGAAGGGAATTGAGATTCTTGGAGGTGGCGACGTTGGAAGAGATGGAAAGAGAAATGGTGTTGGCAGCCATGGGAATCGATTAAGATCAGCAGTCGGGTATGGGGGGAGAGAGTTGAAGGGAAGAAATTGGGTTGGTGGTGAAGAAGACTCTGCTGGAATAGAAAGAAGAAGAAGAAATACCAATCACGGTTTGATTTCGTGGTTTGGTTTGGTGAAGCCGCCGTGGGCCGTGGGGTAGGTAAGCTAGTCGTCTCTCAGGCCATTGGTATGGTAGAAGTCTAAGCAATCCTCTACCACTCACCCCACGCTAAGTTCACATCGTAGAGCACTATTTGACGGTTCTGATAAGGACACGTCACCCGAAAAACCTGACTGGTGAAAGTCTTCTCATGTACGCCTCGGATTAAAACGGCATCGTTTGTTCGACCCGCGAAAAAACTAGAGCGACGAAAGAGTGGGTTTAGTGGTGGAGCCAAAACTCACTCACTCCCAAATTCGAGAACAAAATCGCACAAGGCGACGACACGCCAGTGAGGAGGATCCGGTTAATCGGAAATTTCCTGCTCATCTGAAAATTGGATTTGGTTGTCGCTGAGGCGTTAACCGGGTGGTCGACCCAGGGCGATTGGGATTTCTGAAAGGTTTTTAGGGCGAACGAGAAAAAGGAAATCAAAAATGGTTAAACTATCGTTGGAAGACGAAGATGACGATCGCTCTGCCTATAACTTAAGGTCTTCTAGGTCTAATGCCAAGTCGAAATCAATGTCCTCTGGTGGTTCCAGAACGAATCCTAGAGCGACGAAGAGAGCTCGACTTTCGGGTGCTACGGCGACTAAAGACTCGAGTCATGTTGATAAGGTCTGAATTTGCTTTGCCTAGTGTATGTTTATGTTTTACCTTGACGGAGGTCCTGAGTTTTACTTATATATCACGCAGATCAGATTATCTTTCGAGGATTTCGATGAAGCTTTAAGCGGGTTCAAGGTATCTTCTGGTACGCGCCAATTGCCTCCTTGCTCCTCCACAACGTTCTCTGTTATTGGTTCTCATATCTCTTCTAAATCCCTGTCACTCTATTGCTCTGTCGTCCCTTGTTTAGGTTATGAAAGGACCAAGAATACGGATTTATGGGTGGACAAATACAGGCCTAGCACCTTGGAAGAGCTTGCCGTTCACAAGAAGAAGGTATCTTGGATCTGTGCTTTCCTTTTAGCACTGCTTCCTCCTTGGTTCACCTCCGCATTTCCTCTTCCTTTATGTAATCTTTAGGTTGAAGAAGTTAAATCGTGGTTTGAAGAAAGTTTGGGCTCCTCAAAGGTAATGTTTGGTTTATCTTTGTAATTGAGTTATGATTTTTGAGCTCGTGATGCTTGATGCCAGTATTCACCTTTTAAGTTTTCTGTATCAGCAGGATGGTTTTAGGAATAATGTTCTACTAGTCACAGGACAAGCTGGAGTCGGAAAATCTGCTACTATCCATTTGATTTCGTCTATCCTTGGAGTCACAGTGTATGAGTGGAACGCTCCTATTCCTACAATTTGGCAGGAGCATGTGCACAACTCAACTTCAGGTACTTGAAGGATTTTTTTTTTTTTTTTTTTGTTACTCAGTTTTGACAATGCAATTCCAGAACAGATAATGGATGTTGTATTAATCCATTTATTATCTATCTGCTGGCTTTTCTTTAATTTTCCCAGGACTGAAGTACAAGTCGAAGCTGGATGAGTTTGAAAACTTTGTTGAAAGTACTAGGAAATACGGAGTGATGGCTTCATCAAGTAATGAGGGAATAAAGGAGCGTGTTGTTCTTTTGATTGATGACCTTCCTCTAGCCAATGGGAGGCATGCATTTGAAAGGCTACAAAACTGCTTAATTCTCTTGGTGCGATCAACGCAGATTCCAACTGTGGTATTAATCACTGACTACGATAAAGCTGACTCTTCTGACCAGGCTGCGCGAAGCATGGAGGATGTTCAGTCGTCTCTTGAGCGAGCAGGGGCTTTAAAGGTCGCTTTACCAAACTATTTGCAATTCAAATCTAGGTATACAAATGATTTTTTCAACTCTAGTTGATTGTCCAGGTATGTAACTGCAGGTCGCTTTCAATCCCATTACGAAGAATTCAATTAAAAAAGCACTTCAGAGAATATGTAGGGAAGAGCATTGTAAGGTAACGACTATGGAGATTGATCAGATGGCGAGTGCCAGTGGAGGAGACATCAGGCATGCTATTACATCTTTGCAACTCTTCTCCGTTAAGCCAGATCTAAATCATACTAAGATAAAAACACCTCGGCCTGGCATGGATGACACTTGTCATGGAAACGAGCAGACAATGTACAGTGTTTTGGATAGTGGAATATCTTCCTGTTTTGGTAGAGATGAGACCCTTTCGTTGTTTCACGCTCTGGGCAAGTTTCTCCACAACAAAAGAGAGACTGATAATGTCACTGTATCAGGTAATTCGTTTCTAAGAATTTGGAGAATGAAATTTAGAGCTCTGCATCACTATCTTCTAAGCTAATGTTCATGACAGATTGCAGCGACTCTCTTGTGCATGACCAGTTTGCAAGGTTGCCACTGAAAATGGATGCGCCGGAGAAGGTTCTCAGCCAAGCTCATGGACAGGCAGCGCGGGTTGTGGATTTTCTGCATGAAAATGGTATCAACTTCTAGCTCGTATTGACTACCCAGTATTTACTTATCATATGCACTAATTTCCTCCTTGATAGAGTGACGCAGGAGAGCATATTTAAACTTACATGTGTGTTTTTCTAGCCGAAATTTTTTCTAATATGGACTCACAACGTTTATGTAGTGCTAGATTTTGTGAGCGACGGTGCCATAGAAGATGCATTGTGTGTTTCATCGTATTTGGCGGATGCTGATCTCCTTCTCGCAGATTTAAGAGGAAAGATGAGTGGACATAACAAAACAGAGGACGTGCTTCAGTCAGCTGGTGCCTCAGTTGCTATTCGTGGTGTGTTGTTTGGAAACAAGCAGCCATGGTCATCCAGGTTTCTGTTAATTCGGATTCCAGTTGATTGTAGTGTAGTTTGTATGTGTAGAGATTTATATTATCAACTGATGTGTATTGTGAATATACAGATGGCACGTGATTCGGAAGCCAAAACTCTGGCAAGTGGAGCAATCCACAATACAAACCAAGGTAGGGGTTTGCTTCTTTTTTTTCAGGAATATATACTGATTATACATTTCCAAAAATTTCTCTATATACTTACAATTGATGTGTGAGTGCAGAAGAATCTAAAAGAGCAGAGGAACATAGGCTATGAGGGCTCAAGAGTGGCAGCTATATCAGTGATGGCCACAGATTACATCCCAGTACTGAAGTGGCTAAGCTACAGGACATCTCCAGATGCGTTTTCAGGGATGGGAGAAGAGACGGATGAGGAGGAGAGTGAGATATCTGAAGATGATGAAATACAAGATTGGTGACGTTTACCATCTTCAGGCTCTTAATCTCTTATATGTTAAAGGTTAAATGAAACTGGTATGATAGTTCACGTCAAAGTAAAGAAGGCTAATTGTTCTGCTTACTTCTAAATAGGAAATTGACAGTCACTTCTATATCTAAGAATCACAACTATATCCTTGGTTTGATCAAATCCTTCCTTCACTAGTCCTTTTGGAGCATTTTTAAGTTAACAGAACTGGGGTCAAGTTCCTTACCGAAAAGGTGGCTTGAGTTGAACAATATTGAGAAACAAAAGCAGCGATCAATGTAAGTTCAGAACATTCAATTCCTCCCTAACAACTACAATTCTTTTCTTTTCTTTTCTTTTCTTTGTGCTGGTTTAGAAACATAATAAATCACTACCATAATCTTCCTGCAATATAGGTTTGGTCGAAACACTATTCTTTCTCAAGCCCAAAGTAACATTCACTCCTCACAAAGCAGCTTGGCTACGTGAGTAACTTCTTCACCTCTTGTTGTTTTTCCTCAAGTGTAAGCCTGTGGCTTTGTTAATCAAGACACGGGCATCAGCCTTGAGCCCGGCGCAAGCCAGGGCAATGTGATTATCAACGCTCACAATTTCTCTGGCTGATCTGTTAGAAGCAATAGTGACAAGACATGAGCTTTGATCATTTCAACAAGTAACAGGCCAGAAACACACACATTTCTCCCAGCAACAAAATAATACAAGAGAGTGAAAGAATTAATATTATCCATGTAAATGAGAGACGGTTGCATCAGGAATATGAACAAGTTATATAATATTATACATAGAACAAAGAAAAGAATTGTATGAGCAGCACAACTGGAGGAATGGAGCAAGTAGAGCGCGCAAGTGTTAATTTCTAGTAGAGAGAGAGCTGGAGGAAATAAATTTATAAAAACCTAGAATCCTCAAGCTTGGAGGGTAGATTTCTTCATCTAGCCATCTCTTTCTTTCTCCGATGCTTATTATTTCTACATCTTCTTCAAGTTATATAGACCCCAGAGAGAGAGAAAAAAAAACTCACTTAGGCCTAAGCACACGCACTCGTTCATTCCCTTTATATTGGGCCTTAAATGCCCAAAACTTCTGTAACTGGCCCATTAATAAACACACTACAGTATATAAAGTATCCGTTTTCTGTTTTTTTTGGTAGTGATAAAAGTTTCTGTTTTAACTAATCTGTTGTTTTACCTCCCAAACCGTTGATGAATGAATTGGAAGGGGGACTCTGCGATGTTTGCTATCATTTGAATCTTTAAATAGAAACATATGTTATGAAGACTACAACATATTGGGGACAAACAGCTTTCTCCTTCTACGTTGTTTCTGAGAAAACTGAAGCACAAATGTACGAATCTCCATGGGACCAAGCTCCACTACAAAACTCGACTTGTCAACGGGTCCGCCTCTTAGCGGGGAAGAAGCTTCTTCTTCTTCTGCTTCCCCCTCCACTTTCCACTTCATCTTCTCCTTCATCTTTGCTTTTTCTTGATTTGCCGACAAATTCATTTCTGTCACTTCTTTGATCTACAAATTTACCAATGGATTCACTCTCAAATATTTCTCCACCCAAAGTATATATATATACAAGGCTAGTATTAGTATCTCTCTCTCTTAACTGGTGTCTTACCATTTTCCCGGAAAACAACTTCTTCAGCTCCACTTTAGCGAGTTTTGAGTAATCATTGTCTTCTCCAGCCTATAAACAAACAAACCCCACCTTTCATTATTGACTTGTGTCCCAATAAAAAAGAAGATCAAACTCATGTACCTCATAGAGATGAGCCAGGCGGAGAAGCACGTTCCCAAGATCCATCTCCTCAAGAGTGATGAGAGCAATGTTTGGAGGCAAGGTGTAGAGAGGATCCATGCCATAACCTTTCACTGTATTTGAGGCTTTCCATTTCTCCTTGTTCTCCTGTGCGAATGCCATTAGCAGCGGAGAGTATATTTCCTGCCCAGTCTCTCGTCTCCACCGCCCTCCTTCTCCTACCTTGTTTATGCTTACATAGTAACTCCCACGAACCTGCTTTTACAAAACAATTATGGATCAAGACTATATCCTTATGGAACAATACACACAGTACTTTCTCAATTGACTATTCATACCGTCAATCCTGCGCATGTATCATTCACGCACACAGTTTCTACAAGGCTCTCATCTACTCCTCTCGAGTCATCCATGCACGTACTCCTGTTTCCATGTGTTCACTCAGCTCACACAATAATAATGTTTATTTTTATTTTTACAAAGACATAAGTGATGAAATTTGGAACCTGTGAAGCATCAACTCTATTTCACCGTCCTTAATGCTAGCACCTCCAGTAGCCCGATCAACCAACACCGAAAACTCTGCTTTCTCATCCTTTGCGTACATTCCAAGATTAAGCTGAAGAATCACACTAACAAAGCTCAAACAGTGCAAAGCCACCTACCGTCGATTCTGCTAGCTGCAGCATAATAATAGTTTTACCGGATAGTAGTTTCCTGCTATTGGCTCATTCACTTGGAGAGGCCAGTCTGTTCGTTTATCCCGGACCTGCATGCAATATACATAGAGTGTACTTTCTATTCTCATATACAATTCTGATGCACCATATTTATTCCAACCCGGAAACACAATTTCCTTAACATGATAATGCAGAAAATTCTAAGTACCCGTTTCAGAAAGTCTCTTCCATTAGAGTCTGTATAGAACGCTTTATCTGTACTCATATCTGTTACCATTCGGGTGATAATCTCTTTCCCCATTAGATCATTATTATTAACAGGAATTGGACCAATCTGCTAAACATCAAATGTGCCTCAAGGATCCTCTTTATCCCAACAAATACATTAAAGAACCTCAATTATTAGAGTTTTGGAGAACACTTACAGTGAACTCAAATTCGGCATGCTCTTTATCTTTGTACAGTCTGACCACCTAGCCAAATAACACAAGTACACATCAACCAAAGGATTCTTAAATAGATATATGGCATTGCACGGATTGCCACAAAATATGACTTACATGTGCCACCCAAGGACTAAACTGCTGGTGCACCTCATCTACTAAAGGCCCTTGCACAATCTGCAACTTCGGCTGCACATTACTATATGTGAGTAAAACCACTATTGCTAATGAAAGTATCAGTCACAGTCCATATCATCCAAACAAGCACTTACTATAAATGATTATATATTACTTCTATGCATATAGATTTTATGGATTTATTTGTATTTTAAGACTAGGAAGATTATTATCCTCTTCTTAAAATAACGATGGTGTGTAGAGAAGCTAGAAAGTTTTGATCTAAACAACTCAATTCTAGTGGAGTATCAAGTTATGAATGTATGACTATATTGCACAGGATAGACTCACTTTGAACGAAGAAACAGGATAAGCCAAGGAACCATTAGGTCGAAAAATATATGCACCCGAAACCTGGGGATCGTTTGCGTCCCCCACATTCGAAGCATACCAAAAATAGTTCTGATTCACCATTAGGTCAGCCTAAAAGATATAATATTAGAAGCAATTGTGTTTGAATCTGTCTAGTAACCATATTATTCCCCAAAGATCAATCAACCAAAAATAATTCAGTGGGAAGGAGAGAGTAAACGAAACATTACTCCTGTTCTGGAGTTGTACATCCGTTGTACAAGACCAGAGTCTGAAGAAAACAACATCTTTAGATTTCCTGGACCAATTTCAGTCGTACTGCTCACCGGATTAAGCAGCACTGAAGAGTGTGTGTGATTGCTGCTTCCTATATCATGCATTCGTCAGAAAAGAGAAGCATGAGGTAGGGCAAGGCACATGTTTAACTTTTTTTTATAATCGAAATCATACAGCTAAGCATGAGCCTTTCTCTCCATATATATACCTTGTGTGGATGCTTTAGAGATGTAGAACGTGTTCCAACCAAGTGGTGGCACTGTTGCTTTAAACACGAGCCAATACTTTGGAATCTGCGTTGAAAGTTTTCCTAGATAAGCTTTTGTGTAGAACATTCTGAGGTTGCTGGTGACATTATCCATGGGGATGTATTGAGCATCAAGGGTATTTCCAGATGTATCTTCCACACTTAGACCTGCATCATTAACCTGGTAGACCATAACGTCGCTCTTAGCGTATAACATTGAAAATGATCCCACAGATGAAACAAGTAAACAGAGGCATGAAATATGACCGGTATCCTTATGATTTCTGTACGGTTCCATCCAAGGGAGTTATACGCCACCAGAATCTGAAGATCAAACCAGTGAGATAGTTGGAAATTAACATAAGTTATATCTCAAAGATTGTTCAGAGATGTATGTGATGGAATTACCAAGCTCTTTTGGCCTGAAATAGTTTCTTCTGTCGAGGGGCAATAGCTGATATTCATCAAAGAGCACTACTCATTTGATTCCAAAACAAGGTGTAAACATGTATGGTGATTTACTCATAATATTCCACATCAGTCATCACCATGAAATTTGCAAACTAAACCGAGTTTGTAGGATGTATAACCTGGCTGAATGCTATTGTAGGCTTTATGCAGCCACCTTTTGGTGACTTGTTCAATAAGCATGCCAGCGCAGAATTCACCACAGCTTCTGCCTATAATTTTTTTGATGAAATCAATTACTGATTTTTTTTTTATAAAAAAAAGACAGAGCCAAAAGAAAGAGCAGAGTTTTGACAATAGATATCCTTAATATCTTACCTCAGAAGCACCAAAAGCTAGGCGTTTCATGTAATCATCAGTCACATGCTGCTTGGCAGTTCCAGTGACAGCGTCATGGTGTTGAGCTATCCCTAGAGCATCTGCAAGACTGCAAGTATTTGGACCTCCAGATTTCTTGCCCACCAGAAATTCAAGTTGCCTTGCAGCCTATTTGGGGGAAAAAACAAATGGCAAGGCCATGGTCATATTTGAAATTCAACTAGTAAAAGCGAAATGGGACTCTATGATGCAGTTTGATACCAAGTAATATCCACTTAGAGCCCGAACATATCGTTTAAGAGCAGGACGGCTGGTGAAGTAGCCAGTCCAATAAGCGTATTCCCGATCCGCATATCTGTACGAGTAGAGAAAGTAATCAGACGATAAAGATGTTGAAGGGAAGCATGTAAATTTATTTGGTTACAGTAAAGGCACTCACGGGAAAAAGTCATCAGTCTTGAGAGGCCAAGTAACATTGGCATCATTCTTGGCATCAACATAGAGAGATGGTGTGGAGTACAAGGCGTTGACACGGCCATCCTGTGGAAAGTTGAATGGGATTGGTGAGATTCCAGTCTCCAGAACAGCAAGATTAATTGAGAAAGATATCTATATATGGAAACCTTGTTAACATAATGGATAAGTCTGTCCATTTGTCTGAACCAAGACTCGGCGAACTGGTACTGAAAATCATCACCCATGGTCCACATGACATGGTTCCCTCGACTCACATTGGCCTATATCCCCATTATCACATTAACTACTACTTGCAGAAATTCCATTATTACACACACACTGGCACAACGGGTCAAATAAAAGGCTCAGACTTACATAAACCATAGAAGCATTGACGAAATTATCAACCGCCTCCTTGATGTTATAGCCATCGGAACTAGGGTCGTCCTGCCAAAAAGGCAATCACCAATGAATCGGATTCCCTAACGTAACAAAATAAACAGAGAGGGAAAGAAGCGAACCTGGAGGGGGACGTAATCATCGCTGACTTCATAGTGAAAGCCAGTGGGAGGGCCATAATGAACAAGAAAGACATTGGTGAAGATTTGAGAAGAAGAGGCTAAAGTTTTGGATCCTCTCCAGATGACTTCGAGTGATTTCTCGGCCTTTCGCTTTTCTCTGTCTTGGTAATCGATTCTCGCGAAATGCAGAGAGTCCAACCCTAACTGCACCCTAACACAAAACTTATTACTATTAAACACACACACACACACACACACACACACACACACACACACACACACACACACAAAAATGGATTTGTTTTGGGAGAAAGAAAGAAAAGAAGGACCTCCGCTCCAAGGAGGTAAGCTTGGACAGAGGAATGGCCAAAGGGGTCGATTTGCCAAGCAGCACGAGGAGTTGTATTGAAATGTTGCTTTATAAAGCGATGCCCCATTGTGGTGTGGTCTATCATATCTATGTAATGGCACGTTGCTTCATCATTCATACTCCATCCTCCATTTCTGCACACACCATATATAAACTGGTTATGTGAATTGTATCATCATGATGTGCATGCACTACCCAAAAAAATGATCAAATTGATGAAGTAAGGTCATGATAAAACAAAACTTACACGAACTCAAGTTGCCCGGATTTCACAAGTCTCCTCACTTGCTCTTGTGTTTGGGGGCTTTGTTCTTCCCACCAACGGGTAAAGAACGCCTTTTTCATATACATTGAGGGAAGGAAGACAACAAACATATGGTTTTATATAGAGTATGGTAAAATCCTCATTAAATAAAATAGAGTATAGGAAATGAATGTTTCACCATTTCCCCAAACACAAACTTTCTATTGGGATCGCGAAGTAAAGAATCGACCACCGAGTCCAGCACGTTCCTCACGCAAGCGTTCTGAAAACCACGATTCAGTGAGGATTCTATATAGTATGCACGTACGTTAACGTTAGAGTCGTGTTAATTATACTTATATATATATATATATATATAGTTATTCAATCTATAGATAACATATAAACCTGGATACTATTGTTTGATCCGACAAAGTACTGATCAACGGTTTTCAACCATCCGACATCGTCATGGGAATGCGGAACAAGATGAACATTTAGTTTCCCGGGAACCACTCGAGCTTCGGTGCCGTACTTCACGTATCCCCCGCCGTTGACGAGCCGAAGAACAGAAACAATAACACACACTGCTGCTTTCAATAAAGACAAACTGGGTTTCGCCATTTTCCGATGACAAAGGGAAAGTGATCGCCGAGCTTCAGATGTCTATTTCTCTTACAAGTGTGGGTGGTGAGTGGTGCGGAGGAAATTTATAACAAATGGAGAGAAAATACAGGGGTCAAAACTATAGACCAATCCCAACCGTTGGTTTTAAATATCAGATCCTCATAAATGTTTTTTTATTTATTGTTAACTCTATGACTTGATAGATGTAATTAAAATATAGTATTTAATTAGGTTCTCCACCAATCTTATTTTCCTATAAATGTAATTATAATCTCACTGTTAAAAAAAAAAAAAAAAAAAATCTCACTTTTTTTTTCTTTGTTCTTCTTTATTTTACCAATATCACCAAAAAATAGTATTAAAATTTAGTAGTTGTATCAAATTTAAATATTTTATTTTGTTAGACTTTAATCACTTTACCTCTATATAAATTTTATTTTATCTTTAGACTGTAACTATATACAGTATGATTTTATAAAATAAATGAGATATAATAAAAAAGCCTCTGAATAGTGGAGAAGGTTTGGGGGGCGGGGGGGGAAGATAGAGAGAGGGAGAAGGCAATGCATTTCGGCTGAAACAGAAAAGGAGCCCATCCGATCGACCTTGACGGCGGAGAGATGAGAGTCATCGTCGCAACAAGCAGTCTAGTAGTGGCTGCTCCTTTTCTCTTTTCTCTGTTACGACTATCGCTCGCCACGGTCGTCCTCAATTCCATCTCTGCCTCTTTTCCCGATCTCCCCGCTAAATTTGGTCAATTTCTCCCCCTCCCCTCCCCTCCCCTCTGGTTCTAGTTGATTTTATTTTTTTGTTGAGTGTGGGGTTTTCCTATTTCAATGTTAGAGGGCTCCGTGACCAAAAACGGAATATGCGGAGCTCTATACGTGGCAGATCCTCTGGACGGCTGCTCACCGCTGGTCCACAACAACTTGACACAAGAGAAGTTCGCCTTGATTATACGAGGCGAATGCTCTTTTGAGGATAAGCTCCTCCACGCTCAGAATTCAGGTTTTCGAGCTGTGATTGTGTATGACAACATTGACAACCAAGATCTCGTCGTTAGTAAGCCCTCCTCCTTTTATTTTTGTTTTTTTAGTTTCTTCTCCTAAGCTAAGCTAAGCTAAGCTAGGCTTTTTGGTTTGTTGAGTTTCCACTTCCATGAGTTATTATTCAACATCTGTTTTGCACAGTGAAGGTGAACCCTCAGGACATTACAGTTGATGCAGTCTTCGTTTCAAATGTCGCCGGTGAGATCTTGAGCAAGTATGCCAGAGGCCGAGATGGTGAATGCTGCCTTTATCCGCCTAGCAAAGGGAGCGCTTGGACTGTCCTGGCCATCTCTTTCTTCTCTCTCCTTCTTATCCTCACTTTCCTTTTGCTTGCCTTCTTTGCTCCCAGACACTGGACCCAATGGCGAGGGAGCCACTTCCGGACCATCCGGGTTGATGCAAAGCTCGTCCATTCTCTCCCCTCCTTCCCCTTCACTGATTCTTCTCACCACAAGGCCGGTGACACTTGCCCAATATGTCTCGAGGATTATACATCTGGAGAAACCCTCAGACTTCTCCCATGCCAACATGGTTCTTTTCTTTCTCCTTCTCCTCTCGAAATCTAGGAGTTCGGCTTAGGCACTGATTGTGAAATTTTCACCTATATTTTTGAATGATATGATGGGTCAAATAATATGTACATCAGAAGAATTATCATAGATTTGGCCTTCTTTTAGTTTCTGTAAGTGGCTAGTTCATGTCATCAGTTTGTTGACTTGAAGCTCTTATGCAGCTTTTCACTTGAGTTGCATCGACTCTTGGCTGACAAAATGGGGTACATCTTGCCCTGTGTGCAAGCATGATATAAGATCCGATACTTTGTCTTCTGAGGTGATCTCACTAGACTCCATATGTATTATCTTTAAACTAGTTTTTTTATCGTTTTTGTGTTGGATTCAATACACTGTTTGTGTGGTTTTGTACCAGGTACATAAACGAGAGTGTCCGAGAACAGATACAAGTACGAGTCGGTTTACCTTTGCTCAATCCAGTCAAGGTCATTAGCTTTACTATCGCTTATAGCAGCTGTACACACATATCAGTGCTTGGTTATGTGGATCAGGTCCAGGTTTGCTTTGATCTAAGGGTCCAAATGTCATTGAAAGGTTAATCATGGTGGGATGTTAAGTATAGAAAAAGCCACTGGATTAGCCATCAGTTTCCCCAGATCAAATAGATCTGAGTTGCCTTGCTTGTTGTTCTTTGCATGTGTACATTAGTTGTACATTTACACACGTTAGGAGTCGTTCTCGTTTCTTTGTCCTCTTTTTTTCTTTTCCATATAGTTGATCATTGTGTGTTCGTTGTTTCGTGATCTTTTTATCTGCGACTTTTCATATCTGTAATTAGATAAACACAATGTGTGTGAATGTGATTGTACATATATGCAAACAAATTGATAGGAAAAATGTTGATCTTATCAGATTTTGTCTTTCTTTCTCTCTCTCTCTCCGATCCAGGCCAATCTTTAATATTATCTTGTTGATGCTAAATGGAAGATCTTGTCTAAAGATTGTATAACTTAGATATAATAGAATCCCCCTTACATGAGGGGGGGGAATGGAATCATTGAACGTGGCTTTGATTTTGTCTTGTCCGTAATAATATAAGGAAGTGGAAAGAGAGAACACGTCATCCTCATCTCAACCTAACGGCCCATCCAATACGATGACTCGTTCATGGGGTCGTTGGTTGCGCAATTCCATCACCATTTCACTTTGTTTCCATCCTCAATAATGGTTTCTCTTTTACTAAATTCAGCCAACGTTTCTATCTCATACCAATTTATATTAGTTTGAAGGGTGCTTTTCATGTTCATACTCCCAGAAGTGAACACGTTTTCTAATCTATGTAGGCTTTGACTCACTTACCATAGCTAGCTTTCCAACACTGTCTTATATTTATTTATGCCATATTTCCTTCTACTTGCGTAAAGCAACAAATTTCCAATGGTTCCTAAAATCATATGCTATATCATTATTTTATATTGGCCATGCATGACATGTGTAGAAGTTGAAGAAGAAGAAAAAAAAACAATTTTCATTTTTAAAACAATATTATCTGTCATTTGCGGGTTATTTATGGGTCTCTGCTCTCTTCCTGAACCTTCATCCTTTGTTTGACAAGAAGGTAGAGAAGAAGATGTCTCAAACAATCTCCAGCCCAAAGGTAGAACAAGTTGTAAGTGTTGATGTGAGCCAAGCCAAGGCTCTCCTCCAGTCTGGGAACCAATATCTTGATGTTAGGTGAGCTCCTCTATTTCATCATCACTTTGTACCACCAGTTGGAGTTGTTAATTCCTTTCACATGCAGGACTCCGGAAGAGTTTAGGAGAGGCCATTGTCAGGCACCTAAGATCTTCAACATTCCCTACATGCTCAACACACCTCAAGGTAATCATAATCAACCACCTTTTTGAGTATTGAGATATCAACCCCAACATAACATAATTTAATTGAAACCCCCCCCTGTGATCTGTCTAGGTAGAGTGAAGAATCAAGACTTCTTGGAACAAGTCTCTTCTCTTCTCAACCCGGCTGATGATATCCTTGTGGTAATATAATTAAGCCTTTTCTTCCTCATCACACCCACAAGAGTTAAATGAAACGAACATCATGGGTTCTCTCAATAGTCTTTAAATCTGGTTAAATGATACACAGGGTTGTCAGAGTGGAGCCAGATCCTTGCATGCCACAACTGAGCTTGTTGCTGCAGTAAGTCGTACCCTGACTTATATACACACAAATCCCAGTCCGTTTCTAATGTGTTAAATCATTCATCCTTTTTTTTTTGTATCTTTTATATAAATTAGGGTTACAAGAATGCGAGAAACGTGGGAGGTGGCTACTTGGCTTGGGTGGATCATAGCTTTCCAATCAACAAGGAGGAGCCATCTACAAACTAAAAGATTCATCCATAGTTTCTTATCAAATCATGACAGAAGTGTGATGTAATGATAGAGTGTGATGTAATAATCAACTTCTACCTTAGAATGTCCAGTTTGTTGTTATGAAAACTTTGTGCCAAATTCAATAAAAAGACCTAAGAAGAAGAAGATACAGTAAATCTACTAAGGGGGGTGTATTGAACTGCATATTTTAGGAGATTTGGTGGGATTTTAATATTTTAGAATTTTTTAGATATTTGAGTGTAGTTTGAAAAGATTTGGGTTATTTGTTAGAGATTTGGTTATTGAATTTTTAAATTTGCCGGATATGAACAAATCACAATTCACAAAAGACGAGTGAGTTTGGGCTTCTCTGCCTTTTTGAGTAGATTAGATTATATAAAGGCTTGGGCTTCTCTGCCGTCGCACAGCTTAAGCCCTTCCCTTCTCCGACTAATTATATTTCCCGACCGAACAATATCTCTCCCTCTCCCTCTCCCTCTGACTCTCTCTCAATGGAAGGAACGTCCAAGCTAGAGTTTCCAGAGAGTTTCCTTAGCTTTCTAAAGGCTAATGGCCTTGATCCTTCTATCTACGCTGGCGGAAATTCAATTCCACGTTATGTAAGGTAAGGTAACTCCTTTTGCTTTCCTCAGAATTTGGTATTGGAACTGAAACTCAGAGGTCCGTTCCAAGGTTGAAACCTGGGTTCGAGAATGCTGTCCAACAGATTGAATCCGATATTAACTGTAAACTGGACGAGGTCAAGTGGTTACCTGGGTTTTACTCTATTCCTCCACATGTTCATATAGCGAGATCCAAGGCGTACCAGCAAGGGATGGTGAGAGCTATTATCAGAAGCAAAAAAACCAAAAATTCTTCTCTCGCACGCTAATCCTAATTCCCTTTAACCTTATTTCTTGGGGTTTCAGATGTACGGGATTGATGCAGCTTCCGGTGCTGCTGTTTCTGCTCTTGGCATCTCCCCTGGAGACCATGTCTTGGATCTTTGTGCTGCTCCTGGTAATTTATTATCTTGGATCACTTGCTTTTGTTTTCTTAGAGTGTCCATTCCTTCTTTAAAGGGAATACTCTCAGGTGCTAAACTATGTATGATGCTCGACCTACTCGGTGACAAGGGCTCTGCAACCGGTGTCGATGTAGCACGGCATCGTCTCGCTGCCTGCAGAACATTGCTTCAAAAGTATGGGCTTGGTCAAAGGAGCAGACTTTTTCTTGCTGATGGAACCATTTTCTCAGTGCCACCTACCACAAACCTAACATGTAATTCTACAACTCAACACTGTTTCAAACAATGTGTTCTTTTTAGCTTTCCGGACATACGCTAATGAGGTCATTTCCTATGCTTAAAATATTCAGATGAGCCATGTTTGGACTGTCACGAAGACACTTTTAAGCAGTGGACTTCCCGTAGACCTTACAAAGAGAGGAAACAGGAAGCTAAGGCGAGGAAGAATTCTGTTTTGCCGCATAATGGACAGCCAGAAATTATTTTCTATGGACAGAGTTCTGGAGTAATCGGGCTAAAAAAGAAGGAACTTTATAGACCCCTAGACAAGAATGATTATGCATTTTGTGGCTATGACAAGGTAAAGTTGTGATCTGCGGATGCATATACAGTCACTTAAAAAGTATCACAACTAAAGAATTGAAGTGGGATCTTGCAGGTTCTTGTGGACGCAGAGTGCACACATGATGGTTCAATCAAGCATATCCAGAAATTTGAGCAATGGGGTTGGACAACTCTGGAACGCCGTGTGCTAGATGCCGAAAGAACCGATATAAGTTTAGCATCTCTTCAGGTAAATTCCATAATTATTAAGTTTGTGTATCGTGTGTATCCCCTTGTGTTTGCTTCTCTGGTGATCATCATCGGGGTCTTTGGTTGCAGCTGAATCTACTTAGAAATGGATTCAGATTGTTGAAAGAAGCCGGCACCCTAGTGTACAGCACATGCAGGTGATAATTCCAATCACAATAGAAAAACACACAAAACAATAAGCTCGTTGTGCTCTTGCCTTTATTTTCCTCTTACGTGAATTAGATGTAACGATCAGTTTGACGCATGCCCAAAACGAAGATGTGGTAGATCAGTTCCTTGCTGAAAATTCCTCTGCAGGTAACTTAAAAATATAATTTCCAACAAATTAACAACATTTATTGTGGTATCGTTTTCGGAAAAAAAAAATTCAAACTTTGTAGATCATATGGGTCAGATTTTTTGAATCCTGTATTTCTTGTGCTCTACTTATGGACTAGTGGGAATACTAACAGAAATCTGTGTTATGATGATGCAGAGCTACAAGAGATTGAAACGGCCAAGGATTGGCCATGTAGAAGTGGTCGCACGCCTAAAACACTGCGTTTTGATCCAGCCACCTCAGCAACCAGCGGCCTTTTCGTTGCAAAAATAAGGAAATTGCCACCCAACGAAGCAGAGAAGAATGTGTTGTGATGATGCTTGTGTTATATATTCTACAATCTCACTCAAAATGGTCCGATAGGTTGATTACTCTATTCAAAGGTTTGGCTAATGGCTTTATATGAAGAATAGAAAGTGTATTTGCTTAGAGCCATTGGGTTTTAGGATCCCAATCCTAATCCAAATTTATGAATTGCAAAGTGTAATTTGTGTCCACTAGAACTTGCTGTTTCTGTACTCTGTAGTCCCACCACTTTTCTACTGTCTCATTTTTTTCTGTACATGTCTAATTGTGAGGTCGGTTTTGACAGAGTCACTTTTACCTTGCAGAGAAGCAAGGTAGAGACTTTGATCTGGAGAGAGAAAAGAGCCATCTTTGGATTACGAAATGCGGGGGAGAAAAGAGTAAGAGAGCTGTTGCTGTTCTGCTCTGTTGCCCTTATTGACTCAAGACACTCTCCATCGTCTTTGATGTAGCTATCTTTCTTAACACTTTGAGACCTCCTTTTCGAGGAATATCACGCAAAGAAATATTTCCAACAGAAAAGGTTTTTGACACCCAGTCCATTTTATGTAATTTCTACTCATTGTCACATTCATAGTCCAAACAGAAAAGGTTTTGGCCTTTCAAAAGAAAAAGAAAGCAATATTTTACAAAACATTAGCAGCAGCTATTTTCACTGTTGGTCGAACATATAAGAAGATACTTTCACAAAACTCTGCTATATTGTCGCAAGAAATATAGCATGAATAACCAACAAGTGAAAGAGTAGTTTGCTATACTCTCTTCTGAATGTTTTGATGGATCAAATCTTCAGAAAGAAGAAAGAAGCAGATTTGACAATGCATATATCAGCTTTATATTGTTTTATCTACATAACATAAACACTCCCTGAGAAGCTTCCTTAATAAACTTCAACATTCCACTGCTCACTCCTCTTCAATTGCTTCTTGTACTCCAACCAATCGATCCCTGTTGCCACCCACACAAAACAACAGTTTAACAAACAAACATATGCAGAGAGACAGACTTACAGTACATGTAATGAAACGAATGTCCTTTACCGTCTTTAGCAGCAAGTGAGACCATAATGTCATCGATACCCTTCTCCATACCCTTAAGACCACACATGTAAACAAAGGTGTTGTCTTTCTTCAGCAACTCCCAAAGCTCTTCTGCATACTCTGCCATTCTTGTCTGAATGTACATTTTCTCTCCCTTGTCGTTTGTCTGCTCTCTGCTCACCGCAAAGTCCAGCCTGAAGTTGTCTGGGTTCTTCTCTTTCATCTTCTCAAACTCCTGTTAAAATCCCCATTCATTTATCCACACAAAGTCAACAACAACTTTTGTACATGGGAACATTGGTAAAAGGTGACTTGGATTTAGTTAGTGTACCTCCTTGTACAGCAGTGAGCTGCTTGTGGGTACACCCAAGAAGAGCCACGCCAAACCATTGAACTGCAAATATATACATATTCAGTTAGTAGAGGAGATACACAACAAAGCCAATTTCAATTGGTATAGTATGATTTGCAACAAGAGTAAGTGTGTCTGATCGTATGCTTTTGGTTTTGCACCTTGTAGTCCTCGTGCTCCTCGAAGAACATTTTCCACAAAAATGATCTGAATGGAGCTATTCCAGTTCCTGTTCCAAGCTAAGGATACAGAAAACCAGAAGCAATCACTAGAAATGTAAATTGTATCATAAAGTTGATCTCCAAGTGAATGATGAATGATGATGTACCATGATGATGGTGGCATTTGGGTCTTTAGGCATAAGCATTTCCTTCCCAACAGGTCCAGTGATCTTAGCTTCATCACCCGGCTCCAAGTCACCTGAGAGAGCCCAAACAACAACAACACATAAAGAAAAGTTTAAACCGTAATCAGAAAACCCATAAAAGTCTTCGTGTGCTTCTCCTTACATAAGAAGTTGGAGCAGACCCCCTTAACAATCTCTCCGCTATCATTTGTGTAAACTAATCTCTTGACACAGAGAGAAACCTGCAAAAAGCGATTGCCAGATAAGAGAAGAGCAGAGTCTGTATTGTAAGTGTTGAAGAGGGAAAGCATACGGTCTTGGAGTCTCCAAAGTCACCAATGGCACTGCTGGCGATTGAGTACAACCTCAGCTTGTGGGGCTTCCCGTTCTTATCAATTCCCTCAGGGATCACTCCTATCGATTGCCCTTCTCTATACGGAACCTCACCTAAGTCCATCAATTTTTATCAAGTTCAACCAACCTTAATCCTAATCATCATCTCTTGCAGAATCGAAATATTGAATGCTCAAAGAAAAGAAAAAAGAAGCCTACCTTCGGTGGTGAAGACAATGTGCCAGGTTTCACCGGGAGCGTCATCGCCGGTGATCTTGGTGTTCAAGAGGCATCGACCAGTGTAAGGGTTCTTAGGTTTGAATTTGTTGACAACGATTCCTTCTTCCTGTTTCTTTGACTCCTTGACTACTTTCACTGGGGCCTCGGTAGCCTCTGTTGTCACCTGAGCCTTCACTGACACAACTCTGCCCCCAACTCTGTAACACAGTGTGCTCTGTCCGTTGTTGCAGGAGATAAGATATGTCAACAATTATGCATGTCAAGATCCATCCAGCTTTGTGCGATTTAAAAAGAAGATGAAATAAATAAATTGAACTGTTACCTTCTTGAGGAAAATCCTTTGAGGGGACACAGAGGATAATGAGGTTTTGGTGAGTAGAGAAGACGACTTGGAGGAAGGTAAAGAGACTGCAGCACTTATCGCAGCAGCCATGTCTGATCAGAATCGCAAACGAAGAAGAGGAACAAGTGGAGATCAGAGAAAAAAATAAATATATGATAGATAAGAAACCAAAAAGGATCAAAGAAAGAATGGAGAAAATGGTTAGCGGGAGATATATGATGTGGTTGTGATTGGATGTGTGTGGATTCTGTCAAGGGCAATGTGAGGCCAAGTGTTAGAGAGGATAATGTTATTAGTAGGAACATGCACAGCTTCTCCTTTCTTGTCCTAATTTTAGCATTGCCATTTTCATGCGCCTATCAGTCTGTAGTTTACTGGGCTAGCTTATGGGCTCTAACGGGCCTTTTACTTCGACACGTAGCATCATCCGTCCCTTATAAGGGTTCATAGTTTACTCTCAGTAAATAGTTTTACTTTTAACATGAGAGATGAGGGGAGCTCTCTTGTTGTCTCCTTTATCCCATTAGAGCTTTCTTCCCAGATTACACGAAATACTTTTAAAAGGCTCAAATCATCAATGATATCGTCTGCAGATATATGAATCTGTACAGAAATGATCAACAAGAGAAATACAGAGAGAGAGAGAGAAGATCAACTACAAAAACGTATTACAGGGGTAAGTATAATAACACCACAACGTATTCTGCATTCGCTGTTCAAGAAATCAACATCAAAAATCGATAACTATGAATCAATTGAAATTGAAACCCCTGGATCCTTTCGACTGGTAAAGGTCCAGTCTGCTTTTGGCCTCCTGCAACAGAGCTTCTAAGCTCTCCAGCTGTGTAACCCAAGACTGCTTCGAAGCCCACTCCAACACTGCCAGAACCTCGTCCTTTGCCAGCTGCTCGCTGTCTGGAACATTGAGTGCTATGTAACACAGGAGCTCTAGTGCTGGCATCTGAACACCACTCTCTCCAAAGTAGGCCAACTGAACCAGATGTTTGCCTCCTCCAGCTTCTATAATCCCCCTCGAGTGATCTTTGTGCAAGTAATTCTCTGTGCAGGCAAATTTCGTTAGAGCAACAGCCGCTTCCCCGGTCACTTCAGGCTCTCGTTCATCCAGAAGCTTCACCAGAGGCCCGATCATCCGTGTCTCAGTTGCTCTGAATGTTCTAGCAAGGTTCCCAATGGTTCTAATGCAGGGGATGAGTAGCTCGGAATCAGCGATCTCAATGATCCTAAGCACTTGATCAACCACAGCCTTGCAGGCCGGGGAATTGGGTTTGAATGCGGAGCGTCTCAAATCAGCATCCTGCTCTGCAACGGCCGTTATCTCCATCAACGCCATAGCTGAGTTGTACCTGACCTCCTCGTTTCCCTTATCAATCAAAACAGCAAAGCAGAGGAGAGCTCTGGACTCTGTAATGCTTTTGCAGATGGTGGAGTTGCCTTTCGCCAGCTTCCACAGCGCTCTGGCCGCCATTGCCTTAAGCTGACACTTGGTGGCTGCGTCTTCCAGATCTCGAATCTTGGATGCGCTCGAAGTTGAATTCTGGTGCTGCTGAAGATTGCAAGGTAGCTTGACACCATTACTCTGGCTCACACTGTTGCTCGTCGACTTCCTGGGAGGATTTGCCCTAACCGCCATGGTGTTGACGACCACATTGTGCATCTGATTAGGCATCTGCTTCCCAGTAGGATGTGGAATGGAGCTCTGATCGTCATCAGGACCCTTGGCCAGGGGTGCGGGAGAGGTGGAATTAGGGTTTTCCTTGGCGAGAGCGACGGCGTGGTGGATGGAGGTAGCTTTGTTGTTGGTGGCAATGGCGTATTTGCTGTGCTCTTGCACGGTTTCGAAGGCCAAGTGGCCAACGAGTAGCCGAATGGCGTTGTGCTGAGCGAAGACGTCTTGGCACTTGGGGTGATTGGAGACGAGTTCGGAAGTAGCCCAGGCAACCATGGCCTGGACTTTCATGGGACCTTCTTTGAGGACTTTGCCGAAGACGGAACAAGCGCCGCCGTGAATCATGTGCTCAACGCTCTCGGGATCACGGCCGAGTAAGCCCAAGGCACGAGCGGCGTTCTCCTGGCCTTCGGGCTTACCTTCCTTGAGAAGCTTAAGGAGAGGGACGACGCCTCCTTCTTCAATGATAAGCTTGGTGTAGCGATCGTTATCACGGGCCAAGGAAACGAGGGAGGCGGCGGCATCGGAGCGGTCTTCGAGGGAGCCGGTGTAGAGAATGGCAATCTGCTCCCAGATGAGGCAAAGGATGGGCTCGTTGGCGGCGATAGGGGGAAGACCGAGGTAACCAGCGTCGCCGCGATCTTCGGCGGGAGCAGAGACGCGGAGGAGCCAGGAAACGTCGCCGATGGAGTTCTCCAACTGAGCGGACATCTTGCGGAAGGCGGCGGCGGGGATGATGGTGAAGACGCGCTTCATGAGACCATTGGCACGGCACTTGAGGACAAGGGAGAGAGCCTTGTCAAGCATCTGCTCGGTGTCATCGATGATGCGGCGGGTGGGGCGCTCGTAAAGGTCGTTGCTGGCACGAGCAGCCTGACGAAGAAGACCAGCGAGCTTCTCGGTCTTGGCCTTGAGTTCGGCGCACTCCTGCTTGAAGGAACTAGCCTCATCAGCGGCTTTGACCACCTGGTCAGACAGTTGAATCGGTTTGGCTAGGATTTGCTTTACGATGTCCGCCATCGCCGAGATCTCCGATCGAGATTCAGAAATGAAAAGGATTATTAAAACTTTTTTATTTTTTTGGTTAGGGCAAAATAAAAGGAAAAAGGAAAGAAAAAAGGTTTTGTTTGGCGTAGTTTATCTTCTCCCACTCGTCAACTGGGTTTTTACGGAAAGCAGCAATAAATTGACAGGCGAGGAAGAAGAAGAAGAAGAAGAAGAGAATCCATGGCGAGGAAGATGCCTAGTTTTGCTGCCCGAGACAATGTCAAACGCGGCTGTGGGTTGTTGTTACTTACTGCCCCCCTGCTGATTGCTTCTCGATTTTACTAAAATACCCCTTCGTCCGCCTTATTTACTACTAGTAGTTCTGACTTTTCCTTTCCCAGTCAAGTCGTCTTCGGATTAAAAAAGAAAAATAAGAGAGACCCCCCCCATCCCATATGCATTTTCTTAAACATATCCCGGATTTAGTGTCTTTTCCTCAACATTTCTAAATTTTAATACTACCAACGACTATTGTTTATCAAATCTATTACTCCTAATTTAGTATCCCTTATTACACACAATTGTAGAATGAATCTTGAGTAAGTCAATAGAGAGAGAGAAAAATATTACGTCCATTTTTCACATTCACCGAACCAAATACGTATACATTTATGTGACCACCCCTGATATCCGAATTACACTAATTCCCTTAATTAATCTCAATCATTGTTTTATCAATTTCGTTGGAGGAGGAGGAGAGCCACTCAGATCCTCGCTGGAAAAAGTAATAGAAAAAAGGTTGCTCTCTCTCTCTCTCACACACGAATATTGTTTTAAAAATTCATACAGATATAGGAAACAAAATTGGAAACAGACAACAAAATATATATAGGAGAATCAAAAATTCACAGCTGGGCTCTATGAATCTTTGGTGCCAAACTGCCAACCCAACCATTTACTTTTAATTGTAGCGATTTAATTGCTCTCTCCAAATGCCACCTGGCCTCCTCTATGGACAGTACTTCAATATGATTCTCACCCTTTTGGTTTCGCTTCCTTTTTAGAACGAACCAACGTACTTTATAACAACAACACTACAACGCCAAACAAAAAATAATACCAAAAAAAAATACCACTTTATCTTACAACCAACATTACATATAAGATAAGACATATCACATCCCAACAAATTACATTCCCTCCTCTTCTAGTTTACATTTTTCCACTACCGAGGATTCCTGTGCCGCCCTGAAGGGCTTGATACTCTCTGTGAACTTATGCTTGCTGTTCTTAGAAGTCTCCTGAACTCATGCAGGCTTATCTTCCCATCTCTGTCTATGTCTGCTTCATCCAGCAGTGGATCTATTGACCCTCTTAGCCCCGTGTGCTGAAAATTTAACATATTTTCCCGTTTCATTTTTTCTACCATAGAGGATAATACAATCACTGGACGTTAGGTGCAAGCTTACCATTCGAAGTTCCTCAGGCGTTATGTAACCGTCTTTATCTATGTCGAATTTCTCAAACGCTGCTCTTGATCTTTGCTGCCATTTCTCTGAATCATGTTCTTCCAGTTGATGGACATGCAGAGCTGCTGCCACAAACTCTGTGAACTCCACTAACCCATCAGTGTTGCTATCTATCTGTGTCCAGCATAAATATATACAACAGTCTCAGACTATAAAAATTGTCTGATATTCCCAGAGAGATGCTATTGCAATCTAAAAGAAAACTGTAACTACCGCTTGAAGGATCTCAGACACTCGTGAATCCTTCAGTTTCCAAGGAAGATCTTTGGCAAGTGCCTGTATCAAAAAGTAAAATAATAAGATTCAATATTATCTAGCTTTCATGCTTTAGATGTTAATCAGTATCGTTTTTTTAAAAAAAAATCACACCTGTCTCATCTCCTCAAGACTAATGACGCCATTCTTATCCACATCAATGGCATCAAATTGATCTCTGAGGTCAGAAATCTCAGCCTCGTCAAGTGTGCTAGCAAGAGCCTGCCAGAAGGAGATACAAAGCATTAGAAACATGTCTTCACCTCTTTTTTATTTATTTTTTCTCCATCAAACAACTTCCGCAGTTAGCATACCCTTAAAGCAAATTGCTTTAGACGGCTGTATCTCACAAACTGGCGCAAGTTGTTTAGAACTGAAATGTCGACAGGGATATCAGTAGCATTGCCCCCTTCTCTAACCCATGCATGTGCTGCCGAGGCAAGAGAAACATATTAGTCTGAGATTCCGCTGCCAATGATGAAATCACTAACTAAAATTTGAAAACAAAAAAACGCATACATAGAGCTTGTGCAGCAGTTAGCCGTGCTCTTGGGTCTTTTACAAGTAACTTTTTAACAAAATCTTTTGCGCTGTCGCTTATTGTTGACCATGGTTTGCGACGGAAGTCAGGTTTGTTTTTTAAAACCTATAGACGTAGTAGAGAGTAGTAAGATGTGAGAAAGATAAGTACAGTATAAGGTATACAAAGAAATCCAGTAACAGAAAAGTTTTCAACTATACCTCCTTAAAAATACCGTCTTCAGTCCTATCCCAAAATGGGCGCCTCCCACAAAGTAATATATATGTAATCACACCAATGCTCCAGACATCTGATTCAGGGCCTGATCTGCGCTTGAGTACTTCGGGAGCAACATAATAAGCGCTACCAACAATGTCATGGAACTTTTTCCCTGAGAAAGATTTGAGTTATTTATAACACACAAATCAACAGAATAGGCAGGAGTGTATATTGATAGCTTCTAAGTGTACCTGGTTTAATAAAATCCGATAAACCAAAATCTGTAGCCTTTAGAGGCGAATCTAGTTTATCTGATTTGAACAAAAAATTCTGCAACAGAAATGGTAGAGGAGGAAAACAGAAGATTGTTAGGAAAAAAAAAAAGATAGGCAACATGAGGTGTTCCCTTTAGGGGTGAAGAGAAAGTGAACCTCTGGTTTCATATCTCTATGTACAAGACCGTGGAGATGACATTCTCCAGCGACTTTGAGCATCTGCCTGACGACAACAGCTGCATCTTTCTCAGAGTATCGACTATCTTTCCTGGAGAAACAAAGAAATGAGTAGAGTAATAAGTTGTCTCTGATAGAAGAGATAGTGTTTGAATAGAAGAGAGAGGAAAGAGAGGAGATGCTAACTTGGATAAGATCCTGTCGAGCAATTCGCCTCCCTCGCACAACCTAGTAAAAAGGGAAAGAGTGAAATGAGGTTGCCTGAGACATGGAATGAACTTAAAGAGTCATTGCAAAAAAAAAAAAGAGAGAAGGAAAAGGACTGACTCCATAGCTATATAGACGTAGTCATCATCCTCAAAGGCATTGTGAAACTGAACAACATTCTCGTGGCCAGAAAGAGCTTGAAGTATCTGAACCTCTCGCTTGACGTCCTCAACGGCAATAGGAAGAACCATCTGTGGGAAAGCAGAGCAGGAACGATGAAGTCAGTAATGGAATCCGATGCGTGTGGGAATAAAATGGAGAATGAATCAAATCCACAGTTTTGATACATTCCCGAAACAAAGGGAACTGCATTCTTTTTTGAGAAAGAAATTAAATATAAAAACAAATAATAATAAATAGGGATTGGATTGGATTGGATCCCCAAATTGAAGGGTGACGAATCTTGCTACCTAAAGCCTAAAGGGTGGAGGTGGGGGAGATGATGAAATTGGAAACAAAGAGGGGAATCTGAAAATAATAAAGAGAAGGGGGCTTTGAAGAATGAAGATAGAGAGAGAGGGCTACTCATCCTTAAAAAGAGATATACTGTAGTGTATACCTTACTCTTATCGAGTCTCTTAACGGCGACGCGATCTCCATTGGACTTGTCGATGGCGACGTAGGTGTAGCCGAATTGACCATGGCCGAGTAGCTTGCCGATGGAGTACTGGTCGTGGAAGTCTTTGGGGTAGCCAAAATCAGTACGCTTGCCGCAGGGGATGGAGCCGGTTCTGCTGCGCTTGGCATCGATGGCCTTGGGATTCGGACAAGGAGAAGCAGCCTTCTTCTTCTTCTGGCACCCTTTTGTACGGTTATGATTGGTCGTCGTCTGACTACTTCTCCGACTGCTGCTAGCACCAGTGACTCTAATGGCCGAGAAACACACCCCCATGGCTCTCTCTCTCTCTGCTCCTACTTATTCTTCTTCAAGAGAAACAAACAAACCAAGGGGGAGAAGAGGTGAGAGTGGAACAAAGATTTGGGAACGAATAAAAAAAAAAAGGTAAGGAGGATTAATAATAATAATAGAAAGAAACAGAGAAGAAGAAGAAGAAGAAGAAGAAGAAGAAGAAGAGAGGAAGAGGGATGGGGTTGAGTTGGTCAAACCCAAAGAGCGAGTGAACCAACAAGGAAACAAATATACAAAAGGAAATATCCTTCCCACTTCCTCCCTTTCCTTCTTCTTTTCCTTTTTCTTTTTTTTTTCTTTTCCTTCTAAAAGTCTTAGACAAACAAAATGTGCTTACTGTGACTGTATTATTATTAGTTTTTGTTTTGTAGTATTGTAATCAAATAGAGTAACATACACACACTTTCAAGTTTTTAACATTAGCATCAAAACATAATACTACTAGTCTAACTAGTAATTAATTATGAGATTTGTGGTACTTTTTATTTATTTAACTTTTAACTGCCAATTCTCATCTTCGTTTGACGACGACAAAAAATAATTAAAATGGTTAATGGTGTGTGAAAGCGAAGAAGACCCGATGGCCAGTGCAGTGCTCCCCACGTGGGTCATGAACCGACTTGATGATTCTCCTCTCTGTCTCTCTCTCCATCCAAGAGTGAGTGAGTTTGTATTATTTGACACATTTTTAATACGACACCCTACACTACATTACTACATTCTTCTTCTTCTAACCAAAACTCCCCCCCTAGTTAAAACGTTGTATATGCGCAATCAACCATAATTAATTAAACTGTAGTATTCTATATACTCTTTTTTTTTTCTTTTTTTTTTGTCGTCAAGTATTCTATATACTCTATGTAAATCTTTTAGTATATCCTCTTCCTCTATGCTGCTTTTTTTAGTCTACCAAATTGACTTGGTCTTTTCAAACTAATTAAAATTTCCTATTCTACTACCTACTTACTGTGTTAGACTTTATTCTCTTTGTTCATTAATCTAAATCATGTATTAGCCTTATTCAAACTCTCCTTCCTTCTAAGCCGTATTCCAGAGCGACGCTGAGAATCCCACATTCTCACGTACACGTTCTTGTTCCTTCCAACGCGCACAAACTTACTACCCTATATGCTCTTTTTCTTCCTCTCCCCTTTTTGCCTATCTTATTATCATTTAGTCATTTCTATTGTATTTATTTACTTGGGCTATTAATTAATCATACTATATACTAGTACTACACTTTAGTACTCATGAAGATATTTATTTTATTTTTTTGGGAGTGTGTAATGATGACGGCAGCCACTTACTTGGCAGTATCAATCTGAGCTTTTTCTTTTCTTTTATATCAAAATATTTGTTTATACTTGTCCAGATAGAAAAACGTGTGCCCTGAGATTTGCCTATAAACTAGTATTTTATTTTTTTTGCTAATACTGTACATAGTTCATTATACAACTTTTTTTTCTTAAAAAAAACTTTTATTGCAATACCAAGAAGAAAACGCCGATTACAAGACGTAAACGGTCAACATGGCTACAGGCCTAGATAAAAAAGAAAAGTTTGAAAAAAAAAAATAGAAAGATACAAAGGCTAAGACCCAGCAAGGCTACAGGCCCAATACAAAAAGGGAGGAAAAATTACAAGGCCTAAAAAGGCCACATGCCCAAACGAGGAAGAACAACAACAAACCAGCTCTTGTAAGATCTCACGACTTCGAAACGCCTCGATTCATTATACAACTTGGGGAACCCTCTCACCAATTCTGATCACTAGTGATCCCCAACCGGGCTTTCTAACTGTTTATGGGCCAGGATCATTTATTTTTGCTCTAACTAAAATTACATGTATGGTTGGTTGAAGTATTCAGAATTTTGTCATTTGCAGGGTTTTTTTGGTGTGACCTCTCTTTTTCTGCCTACGCTTCCTAAACCAACCGACTCACTTTTAGTTCTTTCTCACAACAAATTTAATCCCAGAAAACCTACGCTACTTTATAGTTTGTACCCACCCCTTTCAGATCCTATTGGTGATACACATCAATCTTCAACGAGAGAAAAGTCACCACCATATCATATATATGTCGCTCGCCAGCAATCTCTTATCACCAAGTAAGTCGCCCGCTTTCGTTACTTTCTCCCCTTAATTTGTGGGCATGCATTTATGGGATTTCACTATTCCAGGGACACTTTTGTGTCTGTCCATATATACATACTATTGATTGAATTTTCTTTGTTGAAACTAAAAAATAATAAACTAGACTTGAGTTGGTCTTCCTCGTCGCCGATGCCGTTACCTTCCGTGACACCACTACATGTCGACGCATTTAATTTTCCTCCTGCTGTTGCGTCCCCCGCTTCCCACAAAAAGCTTTTCCTCGGTGGTGCAGGTTAGCATCTATCAAAGTGGACCTCTGAATCAGAGGCTCTGATGATGAGTTTGTCGATCTATACTGTAATGCTCGCTCGCGTAGCTTCCTTTCTTATATAAACACATGCATGTATGTGTTGGCTTTACTTGCGCAACGCAGGCATACGATGGTTTGATATTGAGGGCAAGTTCGTGATCGTCACGGTCATCGGAGTCTACCTAGAAGCTATGGCAGTCCCGTCACTCTCCGTTAAGTGGAAAGGCAAAAATGCAAAGGAGTTAACGGACTCCGTCCCTTTCTTCCGCCAACTCGTCACAGGTTTTACTTTATTACGTGCAAAAACACTTTTGTGCCTCGAGTTCACGTACTTCACGCGATTTGTGTAGTTATTTATATGTTCAACTTAAACACGTTATAGAATATTGCCTTTTATTAATGTTTTATGTTTCTTTTAATTAATTTATTTTCTTTTTTCTTGTGGGAGAAAAGGTGAGTTTGAGAAATTCGCAAGGGTGACGATGAAAGTGAAATTAACGGGGACACAATACTCGGAGAAAGTAGTAGAATACTGTGAGGAGATCTTGAAAGCGTCAGGGAAGTACACAAGATCTGAAGCCAAAGCCATCGACAAATTCTTGGCGATCTTTAAAGACCAAGATTTCCCTCCAGGCTCTTCGGTCTTCTTCGCTCTCTGCTCAGTAAAAGGCTCTCTCACGGTGAGTGATTGATCTGCTTGTTTGCTCTGTTTATCGTGTTTTTTTTTTTTTTTTGATAAGTAGGGTAATATATCGATCGAGAGTGAATGAATGAATACGTACGATGACGTAACTTGTGAATCAGATTGCGTTTTCGAAAGACGAGAGGGTGCCGAGAAGTGGAAAAGCGGTGATCAAGAATAAGTTGTTGGGAGAGGCAGTGCTCGAGTCTATGATTGGGAAGAATGGCGTTTCCCCTGCAACCAGGAAGAGCCTCGCTGAGAGATTATCTAAGCTGATGAACAACAGCGACCAACATGCTTAAGCTAATAACAAGGTTCCTTCACAGGATTAAAAATTGTATTCCAACTCGCTTCCCCAAGGCCCAATCTTGTGGTGTTTATAAACTAGTTTAAGTAAATTAAGACAAGTAAAAATAGATTGATGTGAACTTTATGACCATCTTAATTAATAGTATTCTCCTTCTTCTAAATTACTTGCCTATTTTTTAATGTTGTTTCTGATTTTTTTCCAATTGGATCTATAATTAAAAAAACTTAACTAGATACACTTGGAATAATTTGAGTTTAAGGCGGAAAAAGAAAAGGAGTTTAAAAACAAGATGGGCCTTGTATAAAAACCGTGGGGATAATATATAGTGGCCTAATAAGGGACGCGAAAGGCCCATTAAAAATCCCAAGGGAAGGGAAACGTTTAGGAAATAACACAACGGCTAGTTTTCAGAAAAGGCTCCTTCCATATGTGTGTGTGTACACAACACAACACAACGGCTACTTTCAAAAACCCTGCAGAAAAGGTTTCTCTAAGAAAATCAATATATATATATATAATAACGCCATTGTTGCCAACGCCACAAATACAATCACTTTCGTCTCATAGCTTTCCCTTTCTCTCCTTCTCTCGGCTCAGTTTATCCCAGAATTCTTTCTACTCTTTACTTTGCTTCTCAGATTCAATAGAGTTGTGAATCGTAATGGAAACACCATCATCCACAAGAAGAGTCACGAGGTCTCAGACCCGTGCTGCCACCAATCATCTCTTGTCCTCCAGTAAGCCTCTCTCATATTCTTCTGTTGGTTTCTCGATCCCAATTTTGAATCTATATATATGGGAATGGGGGTTTCTTGGTCGAGATTCTTGATTCTCGGGTTTTGTTTCGTTTTAGTCATAAGGTTTCTTCTTCTTGGCCTTTATTTCTTGTGGATCTGATCCTTTTTATTTTGGTTCTGTCTTCCAGAGAAACCAGAGGAGTCGGACAAAAGCCAATCAAAGTCTGTGCAAAGGAACGGTGGAAAATCACATCAAGATTGTAGGTCGGCTTTGTTCGACATAACCAACGACTCGCCGATCGTAGGTCTGGCGATGCAGACGCCATCTTCAGGAAAGAGGAATATGAGCAGAATCAAGAGCACTCCTGGATCTGGCGAGGCTCTCTTGAGGGGCCAAGTCAAGACCCTCTTGCAGAAGGTTGAAGAGGATGCTGATCTCACCAAGATTTCTATGGAATCTCGTCCTTTCATCCATCTTGTTACTTCTCCCATGGGCCTTCTCGCTCCCACTCCGGCCAACACCCCCCAAGTTCTCGATTTCTCCGTTGACAACGATGTGCAGATTGTGATCACGTCTCCGGTTGTTGCCGGACAGTTCAGAACACCATCTCATCAGGTACAAATCAAAGAAAACTACATGTATATATTGGATTCTCTCTCTCTCTCTCTCCCTCTCTAGGTGGAATGGAAAGAGGTTAACTTGATGTCCTGTTGTTACAGGTGGTGGTGGGAAGCAACATGTTTGATGAGAAAGAAGAGAGCTTGGAGTTAGAGAGGAGCCAGAGCATAACGCGATCATTGCTGCTCGACTTTAGTGATAAATCGGAAGGGTGGGAGAGCTCAGACTGCTCCTCTGTGGTGACTCAAAACCCAGAGGATGATAACTCATCGGTGTGGTCGATGCAAGTCAATGCAAGTACCAAAGACGAAGACGAGGATGAGGAAGCGTATTCATACTACGACGAGGAAGAGGAGGATGTGTTGTGTGAGGGAATGAGAAAAATGAGAGTAGACACCGAATTTGCAGGGAAACACACTCGATTCGTGTACGACAGTGAAGATGAGGACATTGTGGAAGGCAAAGAGCAATCTCCCGGAGTGTTGGCTGGAAAACATGTCAGATTTGCCGCTGATGAAGCAATGAGCACCTCCTCCTCCTTTTGATGGTGTGACATATATCCTCAAAATGTCTCGCCGGCTTTTCATATATGATGAACTGCAACTTTTCTTTTTGGCTGTTGTTTGTTGCCTTTGCTTTCCTTCATTTGATTCCCAATTCTGATTCTTTGGGCCTCACTCTTTATATATGATATGCCTTGTTATTTTCAATAACTCAAAAAAGGCCTTTTAATTGGAGTCCATCAAAACTCCCTTACACTTCAAATAAAAACCGGACTTAACCGATATCAAGATTCATAGAAAGTTGCATTAGAACATCATCTGCAGATTAGTAGAGTATTCTTGTTTCATTGGTCCGTGGATTCTAGTGCAAATATATTCGATAAATTATTTGGTTCTTTTCTCATATCAAGTATTATAACCACTGTACTTGGTCAATTACGAATAGACTACTACCATGTTAATATTATATATTACTATAGGATTATTTAAGTATCGGATATCCCCATGAGCTGTACTTTTCGTTTTCGACATAGACGACCGGAGACAATTAACAAATCCATGTTTCTTTATTTTTTCAAAACTTGTCTATATCTTAGGATGATCATATCTATCTATTATATACATCTCTCTTTCAGCCTTTGGTATTGGCCGGTGAGTCGGCTCCAATGTTTAACAAGGCAATGAAATGAAGTTGTCTTAGGTATATACAATTCATGCTTTATACTGTATGTATGTAGATTAAGTCTGTGATTAAAATTGGTTTAAAAAAAAATTCCACATGTGACCATCCATGTGAAAATAATCAGACGTCCGTCAGTAAAGATAATGACACACCCGCAATTTCTATTAATTATGCAGCGAAGCCTTGAGACAACTCCCTTCAACTCTGCCCCATCTTGTAAATCCATCCTTAGACACAATTCCTCCCCTGCCCATTCGATACAAGTATGGTGTCTATATATATATATATGTTTTTGTGACTACCAAGTAGACTACAAATTTATCTCTGAAAATATATGAGCCACCTAACCAAAAAAGAAAAAAGGCTTTAAATGCGTATTTGCATGCGAATGAGATATGGTCTTAAAATGTCCCGACCATGTTATAAACACACACATAACATTAAATGTACCACACCATTCACCAGAATTGAAACTTTGCCGGCCTTAAAGAAAGGATTGGTTATAGCTTTGATATACTCCACAGTAGTTATTAGTATATTGTTGGAATTTGGAAGTCTCAGCAACAACACTAGTCGTCCCATCCATTAGTATAACCAAAAAAAAACCATTTTGATAAAATAAAAACTGAGCCTCTATTTTTCGACCATTAGATTCTCGGTCGTCTATCGTGTATAAATAAAAAACCCCACATGCGACAGCTGATGAGGAGAACAAATTTAATCATCAAAGCTTATTGATTATTGTATATGAAGACGAGGAACTCCGGCGCCGGATGTGTGCCACGCGTAAAAAGCAACTCCAGAAGAACAGATCGGGAGATTAGTGTTACCCCTTTGACTCTCCTCGACCGTTTTCGGGAAGCAGTTCTCCGCCTCATCATGATCTCTGCCGTCTCCAAGGCGTCCGCATCACCTAGCCGCCGGCGTAGCAAACAGCCGCAGACACAAAAGTATTATAAGCAGGCAACCGATACATATCACAGCGAAGCCGTGGCCGACTGTATTGAGTTTATCAGAACCAAGAAGGCCATCCACGATCACGGCGAGGAAAACTCCCGCTAGTTAACGTCGTCGTCACTTGTCTTCTCTTATTATTATTGTCCGTCGTCTGTTGCTTAATTAGTAGAAATCATGAACAGGTGAAATAAAAGTTACCGTACTTGCATATTGTGTATATTACGCCTTATTTTTGGGATTTATATATATATATATCGTTGGTATCATTTAGTTAAGTTGATATTTTTGTTACCGTATATAAGAACGGTAATTAACAATATAAAATAGAATTATAGAATAACATAAAACTTGGTATATTTGGTTTTGTAAAGCTTGGTTCTGTTTCGTGATTTTATATATCACTCCCAGTTTGTAATTTACATGGCTGATTGATTACGTAACAAAGAAAGCAGTGGTAAAAAAGGAAGTTTGGATCCTCATGCGCGCTCGGATAACCAGGTTTCTCTCCTTACATACCTTACAACCATTACTCTCACTGACCAGGATGATTACTATGAATGGGAGATAGATGGCAAAACATACTCGCGCTTCTCAACTGGCTTCATCTATCGCCAACTACGGGAAGCTTTGCCTTTGGTCCCCTGGAGAAAAGCGGTTTGGTTTTCTGGTGGAATTCCAAAGCACAACTTCCATACATGGCTTCTAGTCCTGAATCGTTGTCCAACCCGAGATCGAATTCTCCATTGGGGACTCCAGACTAATCCGATTTGTCTACTCTGCAACTCATGCTCTGAAAGTCGAGATCACTTATTTTTCAACTGCAATTTTGCTTGGAATGTGTGGGCTGTTGGAGTATAATCACATCTCGTCACATAAGTTAGTTACTTGTTCAAGAGACACAAGTTGTCTTGTTCTAAACAGTTGTGTCTTTTAGATTAAGAGTTGTGTCTCTTCCTTAGATAGACACAATTGTTCACTTGTTATAAATAGAGAATGTGTCTTTGTTTCTGTAACACAACACAATTCAGTTTGTAATACAATCAAGTCAATAAAGGTTTTATTACATTCATACTCTGTTTTTCACCATCGTAACACAAATCTCAGATTCTTAACATGGTATCAGAGCTTTACGATTGAGAGGACAATAGAGAGCACTAAAAGAGAGAAAAAAAAGCAAACAAGAGAGATCGTATTCGTCATCAGTTTCTGTTCTTGTCTCTTACTCTATTTTTGCAAACTGCCGTGACGGATCAAATCTTCTCACGAATTGCAGCAG